TGGTGGTTTGGAGCATTTTTTATTTTTCCATATGTTGATAATATTAGCCCCAACTGATTTTCATATTTTTCAGAGGGGTTGAAACCACCAACCAGCAGTATGTATTATTAAGATATACAGATCCAATCATATCATATTCATATAATATGGTTGGTGAGTATGAATTACATCCCCATGAAATGGTTGGTGAAGATCTCCGTATGTTTGTCTCCGACTTGTCGTAGGTGCACATTTTTCCACATATACACAAGCATACAAAAAACTGGACGATCATAGGTATCCATTATATATATATGTATATTTATTTATACTTCGATATGCACATATGTATATTATATATATACATATGTATAATATATATATATGTACATATATATAATATATGTTATATATATATGTTATATATATATATATGTTATATATATATATATATGTTATATATATATATGTTATATATATATGTTATATATATATGTTATATATATATATGTTATATATATATATATGTATGTATGTATATATAATATATATGTAAATTATATATACTATATACATATTTAATACATAGCCTTGTGAGCTCCAGGTGTGTTCCCTCCGCTGGCCTCGTCGGTGCCTGGGCGCGGCTTTTCTAAGGGGTCATTTTTGGCTACATTTTAGCAATGGCTCCATCGTGGTTTTCCATGGGATTTAAGCAATAAAGACAGCAAAAAAAGGTGTTTGGCCAATAGGAATAGTGATTTTGACATATAAAATGACCAACAAAACATATAGTGATTTCTGGCTATTTAACCCTTGTAAATAGATGTAAATAGTGGTTTCATGACATATGAATGGGTATTTCATGGGACAACATTCAAACATGGGGATTTGTGATTAAACATTGGGATTCAACCTCAGGTGATTTAGCAGTTTCTTATGAAAGTCACCATGTATAGAAGATAACACATCTATAATGAAACTGGAGGCCATTGTCTATAGCTATATTAAATTTCGAAGCGGTATGTCTGATTCTTGTTGAATAGAACAATGTTGGATGTTGATTAGTGGATACCCCACGTGTAAAAAAACTTTGTTCGTCATTCTGTTTGAATATCGTGCCCCAAATGTGACTCTTGCCACATATTTAAGTGAACAACTGGGTGAGTTTGGGGGTTCATTGGATGGGGCCATTTGATATTTTTTGCTTTTCTTTGTTGGTCTAATGGAGATGATACAAGGATGGGTTTGCACAATCTGATTCCAAATTAAAATAAACCACATTAGTAGATGTACAATTTGATATCCAATTTGGGTTGGTTTCATTTCTCTAGTTCCCATCATGTTTTGTGAAATTCGATGTGAACTCCAAACATTTTTCGCTGCGACAGGTGTTGCAACCATCTGGCCCTGGGCCTTGCCAATGGCGACGTCCAGATTTGGGTGCCATGGGGGGGCAAGGGTGTTGATTAAACATTAGGGTGGACCCCCTAAAATATAATACATAATATGTATACGTATACAGTATATGATTTTAGATGTACACACACATATGTATACAGTATACAATACATATATATATATATAATACAATATTATGTGTCATCATATGCACGCAGCCCAATCCACGATTCCTTTCAAATATTCGGACTTTCCCCAACTGGAAGGTTTCGAATCCTGGATTCACCAAATTCTTTCGAAACAGCCATGACTAAGATAAAATACACATTTTCAATGGATTGGTTTAAGGGAAAAAATATATGTGAAAATCCCATATTTAATGGGAAAATCTACCCTTAAACCAATCCATTGACATTTTTGATGATTTATCGCTTTTGAGGGGTTTATTTCTGGTGGAAAGTGATCGGCAATTGAACACTCATATGCAGATATGACTTTGTTTGTGCGGAAAAAACATGGGAAAAATGTGCAATTGTTTTGTCTGTGGGTGCCCCATTGAGATATCCCAAATGAAGGTCTTTGCCATGCGCGTCCTGCTCACGGGCGGCTGTATTCACGGGGCCCAAGTCCCCTAAGTTATCCCATTGATAAGCGGATTATAATCCCACTTAATGTGGGTAAGACAATAATAAAGCACCCATCTGGGAATGGTAAACATACCATCTATAAAAATGGTGATGACTGGGGGATGGTGCAAATGGCTTTGTTTTACCCGCAAAAAGCTAATCATTTACCGCATGGGGTGATGCTCCAAGTGGGTCATAGTCTCATCACCCGCACCTGGTGGACCAGTGTCTCTGGATTTGAAGAAGTCATGATTCGTCAAATTGCAGGGGTCCAGTTGAATAGCAGATGAACGTTTTTTGTCAGGATGCTCCAAATCAAACAGCTAGGATTCCTAGGATATGCTAGGATAATCGTTTCCGGAGTAACATTATCTATGAAAGGGCCAAGATCTTGACGCCTTTTGGATGTGCGTTTTTTACGGCGCACCGGGTGCTCCTTCAGTGTGGCACACCATGTTTATCATGCTATGAAATCTTTTGCCACTGGCAAGTAAGGTCCAGGCCCACTATAGCCCGGCTAGTCTCCCAACTAAGGTGGATGGGACTTTTCCGTTCTGAACCTCTTGGATGACAAAACAGGGAACATATCATGCTACAATCAGTTAATGTCAACCCTGGATTAATAAACCCCTAAGCTGTTTCATTGGAAAGGTACCATTGAAGTATCAAATCATGACTATTGGGGGAATGCCCCCCTAATTAATAAACCATGGTTTATTAATCCGGGGTTGACATTACATGGTTTCCCTCTTTGTCCCGTTGCTGTCCAGATGTCCCACGTGACGGTGTGGCTCTCCCTGTTGGGGCCCTTTTCAGGGTAAAATATTGGTCAATAAACGCTGCATGGAGCGTGTTCCCGTCTCTTTTCAGCCATTCTTGTCGACACGCATCTGAACAACGATCAGTCTGGGGGCAACAATATGCTACAATGAAAAAATGCAGCAACTCGCTGCAACATGCTGTATCATCTATGACATGATCACATGCGGCATGTAATTTATTTTTTTAAGTTCATCTGGTCTTAAATGCATCAAAATGCCCTTGGCAGAACCTTAATCTGATCATGCACTATAATATAATGTACATCATTAATGTTCTGTACATTTCTGTACTATAAATGTTGGAAATCTGCCCAATCTCTGCCCAGCGTCTGATTCGTCCAACGTCGGACATCTGACGGCCCACTTGGCGTGGCAGCGCGCTGGCTGGCGCGCCAGGATACCTCAGCTGGGGTGCAGCTGCAAGTCCTTCGTGGCCATCGCAGGCGGCCCGAAAAAAACCCCTGCGATCGATGATTTCTTGGGGGATTACCATCTGGTAAACTAACATAGCTATTGAAGATGGCAATTTATACTGAGTTTTCCCATTAAAAATGTTGATTTTCCAAAGCTATGTTAGTTTACCAGAGGGTATATGGATTAAACATACAAAAAACTAGGGACAATCACCATTTTATAGCTGGGTAAATCACCATTTTTGTTCATGGGTAAATCAATGATTATTACATGGGCTTATACGTTGCACTTTTTGCTGGGAACTATAATTTTACAAGCCGTTCTCACTGGGCCACTTCACCAGCCAGCTCGTGAAAAAGATTGACGCAAGCTCTGAGGTCCGATCTTAAAAGGTGTATGGGATTTACCACCAAGGTTGGAGGGTTTCCAAGGCTGGAACATTGGCTCATGAATAGTAGAATAGTAATAATTGTCAATAAAATATCACCATAAATTATCATAAAGTATCATAAAATATCGGGGTTTGATGATTCTATCCTGGCATATTTTCTATCCTGAATCCCATTAAATATGAACAGATAAATATTGCCTAAGAAATCTCCCAAGATATCCCTGTTATTCCACACCGTAAAGGAGGTGCTGTGCAGTAAGCTGGGCCAGCCACGTGGATCTCTTCAGCGGCTCGCAGGCGTTTTGATGGAGACATGGAGATTTATCCAAAATCGTTCTGGATGATTTTGGATGGATAGACTATTTTGGATAGACTATTTTGGATAATTAGTTGATTTTATCTATTTTTTTGGGATAGGTCCGGATAGGTAGACTATTTTGGATGGTTAGACTATTTTGATTGGATTTAGCAAGAGACGCCAGTGGATATCAAGAGATCCATCGAACCATCCCAAACAGCTTCTTGATGTCTGGATCTAGAGATGATCATCCAAGATGATTGTGGGGTCACTTGGCGCGGTTGGTGGAAGACTAACCATCGTCATGGAAATCCCAATGATTCAATGTTGAACCTTCACCAACCAGCCAGGTCAACATAGTTTAATCCCCATGTACGTTAATCCTCTGGTAGACGTTTACATAACTATGGAAAATCACCATGTTTAATGGGAACATCAACTACAAATGGCCATTTTCAATAGCGAACTGTTAGTCATTACCAGAGGGCAATCCTCACTTTTTTAACCCCAACAGATGGGATCCATGACACTTCTCACATCCCCCAATGATAGCTGGAAGTTTATACTAGGAAATTGCTGGAAAATCTCTCTCTCTCTCTATAAATGGCTGGGATTTTCAGCTTAAGCCATGTTTGAGCAAACCGGAGGGTACAGGATGGGGCCCCCAAGATAGCGTTCAGTTGAGATATAAGTGGCTGAATTCTATGGTTTATGGTGGATTTAGCTATAGATAACTATAGTATTCATGGTGTTTATAAACCAACATTCACATCACTGGCGGCCCCCATCCTGTAGTGGTCTTTGTTCATTCATTCCCCATATTGACCTCCACCAATGTTTGGCGTCCAACATGCGACGTTGATCGAGGCTGATGTCCAAATTGTTTGTTGGTTATCGTTACCTATCTCTAATGTATTGATCTTACATCTATATCCGCACATATATATACATATATACCTGGGTAAGTTATAACGACCTCACTGTTCTCCCTCACTGGAAATCATAGTTAATAAGGGAAATCATCCCCAAATGACCGAACTATTCAGGTTAGTGAATTATTATAATTTACCCATATATAAATATATATATATATTATATGGACATATTTATATACGCATTTCAAGAAACAATATAGATATGAATATATCTATGTATGGTATATACACATCAAATATACTTTTTAATATACAGTACACATGTCATATCATGTCAAACATATCAAGTCTGTCCATGACTTCCCCGCAGGATACGTCCATCTTGCACTGGGACCTGCGTGAGCCCTGTGACGGCACCTGGGCGTCCATCGCTTTCGCATGGGATGGTGGGTGAAAAACCTCTCGAGCCATAGAGGAATGGATGGTGGGGTTGTTGGTTAACAAAAGCCCCAGTAACTATACAGGATGGTGCCCCCCAGTTATAAGTTGGTTTATAAACCCCATTAACTATAGTTATATCTGCCATAAACCATAGTTATGGGAGTTATAAACCAACTTAGCTAACTATGGGGCACCACCTTGTAGTTATGTGCGTACCATCTTTACCATAGTGAAATTGGAGTTATGTGAACCCCAACTTAGCGTTCGTAAACGGGGGCACCACTTTCTAGCCTCTGGTAAACGTTTACATAGCTATGAACAATGGCCATTTATTTATAGTTGATATGCCCATTAATAGCGTGGTGATTTTCCATAGTTATGTTAACGTTTGCCAGAGGGTAGCCAGAACAAACACCATGTTTTTTGGTGGGTTTAACTCGGAAAAAATATACAGATTTAACTGATTTAACCTTTTCAACATTGGTTGTACTATCAACTACGGGGAGTTATCTCGGAAATATGGAGATGTCATGACCATGACCATATGCAGATATCTTGGCATCAAAATGGTGGTCCACTCACCATTATGTTATCTAAAATAATTATATATAATAATAATATTTATAGATTCTATACTAGATAATAAACATTATATCTTGATTCAACTGGGAAATGTGTTCTTTGACCATCACAGAAGGGTTGATTCATACAGTCCCATGAGTACCAACCAACTGATTCCAGGAATTACCAGGTCAGCACCAATTTTGGGTTCCCATAGAGGTGTGTTCGGCATCATGGTCTTCAAAAGATGGGTTTACTGAGAGGCTGATTTTTTGTTTTTTTTTTCAGTAAAAAGGATACAGCCTACCATGTGGGGCGTCTTTCAGGAACATGTTTGTTCTGTGAAGGAACTTATTGTTTGAAATCCGTCAAAACGGATTTCCACATTCCAATGGGTTCTGAAGGGAATTATGGAAGTCTCAAACCAATTCCCATAATCCGTCAGAAACTGCCCCGAGCAGACGGCACAGTTTGTGCAGAGCCCGAGAGTTGGTTAAGAATCTGAAAGCCTGAGGTTTTAAAATGGCAAATTTCCACCACAATAGGTCGAGGGTCCCTCAAATTCTTAGAGCGTTCTTAGTCATGTATTGTGCGCATCTGCGCAATTTGGAGCGAGCCAAAGCAAGGTAACGAGGTGGAGCTGGCAGATTTGACAAGAGACACACGAAAAAAACAATTTTTTAGAGCCTGAAAAATTGTTTTTTTTGGCAAATCCGGGCTTCTCTGAGTTTCATAAGAACAGTGCAGAAAAAAACATTTTTTTAGAGCCTGAAAAATTGCTTTTTTGGCAAATCCGGGCTTCTCTGAGTTTCATAAGAACAGTGCAGAAAAAACATTTTTTTAGAGCCTGATTTTTTTTTTGCAAATCCGGGCTTCTCTGAGTTTCATAAGAACAGTGTAGAAAAAACTTTTTTTTAGAGCCTGAAAATTGTTTTTTTTTGCAAATCCGGGCTTCTCTGAGTTTCATAAGAACAGTGCAGAAAAAACATTTTTTTAGAGCCTGAAAAATTGTTTTTTTGGCAAATCCGGGCTTCTCTGAGTTTCATAAGAACGGTTCAGAAAAAAACATTTTTTTAGAGCCTGATTCCCCACCTGCCAGGTGAGGGTTGTTAGATTTTATGTCAGTTGCTTGCTCCTCCTCCTTCTCCTCCTCCTCTCCTCGTCTCCTCTCCTCGTCTCCTCTCCTCGTCTCCTCTCCTCCTGCTCCCTGCCGGACCTCAACCACGACCATCCACGCCCAGTGTGCCCTGCCGGACCTCAACCACGACCATCACCGCCCAGTGTTCCCTGCCGGACCTCAACCGCGAGTATCCACGCCCAGTGTTCCCTGCCGGACCTCAACCACGACCATCCCCGCCCAGTGTTCCCTGCCGGACCTCAACCACGACCATCCACGCCCAGTGTTCCCTGCCGGACCTCAACCGCGAGTATCCACGCCAAGTGTTCCCTGCCGGACCTCATGTAGGAAGATAAAATGTCAGATAGAGTGCCAGAAGATTTGCCAGGTAGAATGCCAGAAAATATGCCAGAAGATATGCCAGATAGATATGCCAGAAAATATTCCAGAAGATATGCCAGATAGAATGCCAGATAGAATGCCAGATAGAATGCCAGAAGATATGTCAGAATATATGCCAGAAGATATGCCAGATAGAATGCCAGATAGAATGCCATAAGATATGTCAGATAGAATGCCAGAAGATATGCCAGATAGAATGCCAGAAGATTTGTCAGATAGAATGCCAGAAGATATGCCAGATAGAATGCCAAATAGAATGTCAGAAGATATGTCAGATAGAATGCCAGAAGATGTGCCAGTAAGAACATGTATAAATGTCATGGTGGGGATCACACGAAGTAAAGTATTTTTTTTTGGCAAATCCGGGCTTCTCTGAGTTTCATAAGAACAGTGCAGAAAAAAACATTTTTTTAGAGCCTGAAAAATTGCTTTTTTGCAAATCCGGGCTTCTCTGAGTTTCATAAGAACAGTGCAGAAAAAACATTTTTTTAGAGCCTGAAAAATTGTTTTTTTGCAAAGCCGGGCTGGGGCTTGTTTGCGTTTCATAAGAGCAGTGCAGAAAAAATAATTCTTCGTTGCTTGAACAATTGTTTTTCTGCAAAGCTCGATTTCATCCCATAAGACCATAAGGGGTCACTCCACAAAAAAAATGAACCGCAAAGGGGAATTGCAAACCTCACGTATAAGCAGTAATTTAAGAATTTGGCAATCCTATTCCAGGGTCCCTCAAATTCTTAAAGTGCTATGTGCTTGGTATAGCTGAAAATATGTAGCCCGCCTTGGATTCGAGCCCCTCAAATTCTTGTACAGTGAATTCTTATACAATACTCAAGCTGTATAAGAGCCCCCGACTAGCTGGGATGGCCCCACCAAAATTGGTCAGCAGTTCAGAGTGAATTGCAGTCTTGTACAGGGGGGTGCCCCCCAGTGATGTTTGTTGGTTTATATATATATATATAAACCATTATAACCCCCAGGAGTACTATAGTTATCTCTACTATAAACCCAAGTTAATTCAGCCACTGAAAGAAGGCGTTTCTGAACGCGAGCTCGACTGCGGGCGCCATCCTGTACCAACTTGATAATGCAATGACAAGGTCAAGCCAGGATGAACAACCTTTGGTTGCTATCCAGGATATCCATGTTACATTTCTCCGGAAGATCATGCGTCAAATGAACATTGAATTTCCAGCTAGGTATTGTGTTCTTTTAAATTGTTTTCCCCATTGAAGCCATTTTTTATGACATGTTCATGTTGATTCATGGCTTCCTCAATTTTCCCCAAAATTCAATTCATTTCTTGTTTTATTTCTTGTTTTCCCCATGATTTTCCCCAATTTTCATGTTGATTTCCCCAGTTCTGATTTTTCATGGCCTGTTTTTGCCCAAAAAGCCGTCCGGTGAAATGGTGAACAATTTCGAGGGCTCGGTTCGCGAATAACCAGGTCGACCCGCTCAACGCCTGGCCGGACATGCTGAAGAGGCCAACGGGGGGCCCAGGGAGCCTGAATGATGCTATTCAACAAGAATACTATGATATTGGCGGTGTATAGTTTTATATACTAAACTATGGTCTAAAAACTGGAAGATAGTTTGGTTTATTATATACAATTTTATTATATGGGTGTATAGTATACCATAGTATTCTTATGATATTGTCAGTTTTTCTCAGACTTTCACCAGTTTGATGTATTATAAGATTCTACACACTGATATACTCTGGGTAAATTGTAACGATCTCACCTTTCTCCCTCTCTGGAATCATTGTTTATAAGGCAAATCATCCCCAAATGGCCTTAATTCAGGCTAGTGAAATATTGTAATTTATCTAGAATACTATGATATTTTCAGATGGCTCAACATGGTTTGGTGTCAAAATAAGGTACATCATGGCACATCAAGATACATCGAGGGCCCCAAAGTGAGCTATGGTGAATCGAATCAGTGAGCTGACTCTGAACTTACTCACTTGGGAGATCAAGATGTGAAATTCATATCTGGTTGGTGGTTTGGAACATCTTTTATTTTTCCATAATATATGGGCATAATCATCCCAACTGACTTTCATATTCTTCAGAGGGGTAGGTATACCACCAACTAGCATATCATTTCACATTTTTCGAAGAGCAAATTGAAACTTGGGTAACTGGGACGATGGGATGCGGGCTTGGGGTCAAGCGACTTTTAAAAGAGTGCCACTGGTCACGCCATTGCGCACAGGTACTTGGATGTGGTTTGCAATCCATATATCATCATATATATATATATATTATATGTTTATATAACTTTATATTATATAGCCCATACTTCGAAGTTGGCTCATTGCATATAATACAGAACCTGAACACCAAATTTACCTTCATGCCAACTCTGGATTGATAACCCTCTGGGCTGTCTATTTGGGGGGTTGCAGTTTGTTGCAGTAGCAGATTGCGATAGATTACGACTTGTTTGGTGCAATCCCGTGGGATTTGTCAAGAATGGTTCTTTGATATGGGGTTGACAGTACATATGTTCTTTCTGTTTGGTCATATCGCTTCGATTTTCACTAACACTGACTAACGCCAGCCTTCCGGAATTTGGGCAGCCTGCACTGCTTCTTCCCTGGTATTTTCTCAGCTGTTTGTTTCGTTGGTTCCATGCCCGCACCTTTTTGTGCAGATCATCCCCGTTGTTGACAGGTGCTGCCAAATTTGATCACCGATCTGTAAGGCATTCTTGATGGTTGAGACATGTTGATGCTAGCGGCTAGCGCCTTCAATCTGATGAAATCTGGATCAAGTCCCCAGTGTTCCCCCATCATCTGTGCCATGGTCAACAGTTCAATAATTTATACCTACAAAAAGGGACTCGTCATCCCACGTGAATGGGTATTACTATGCACCAGTGGCAAGGAACCCCAACGGAGTGGGAATGATATCCATCTTGGTAAGTGGGTAAGAACTATATGAAATACCACACTTCGATGAATGGAATATACCCTGTCATATTGTGGGATTCAAGATCCAAATGACGGCGAGATGACCATACACCATTAATTTATCCAATGTTTTGACACATTGAGCGGAGTTCAATCACACCAGACGATCGTCCAATCCACATGTTGCTAGCTAAATGCTCCAACCCATTATAGTTAAATGATAGCCACTTTTGGGGGTCAAATAGGTCATGTCACCTTCGCATTGACCAAATTTACCTCTCCTTGTACCTGGGGTGCTGGGGAGCAACCCTGGATTTATCCTAGTTACCTCACAAGTGATGGAAAATAGTAAATTCATATTTTGGTGAAACATTGGTATTATAACGATTTTGGTGAAAACATAGTATAACCAATATTTTAGTGATTATCCTAGATCCCTTTTTAGTGAGCACATATCCCCGGTGGCATTGGCTCTTTAGTGAGCACCGGTCCAATTTCACGTTATTTCCAAGCGAAGAGCATCGGTCCAAAGCGGTTCAATCCCCATAGGGGGAATAGTCTTATCTATAACCTTCATGACCTATAGAAATTCCTGTATGATATGCTATATATATATATGTAACTTATATATTTATAATTTACATATTTATATAACTATATATAACTAAATTATATATATAACTAAAATATATACATATTAGATAATACATGATAATGCATTTTTATCATAAATAATGTACCCTCTGGTAATTTAACATAACTATGGAAAATCACCTAATTTTTAATGGGAAAATCCACTATTTCTATGGTCATTTTCAATAGCTATTTTGACATAACCAGAGGATAATACATTTCTATCATAAATAATGTATGTCCCAAAACAAACTTCATTTATCCATTGCTTCAGCCAGGTCTGTGGCCTCAGTTGGTCTGAGGAATTGCAGCTCTTGGCCTCCGGTGGCAACGAGGGCGACGTGTGGAGACCCGGCGCGAGTTATTTTTTATGGTTAACGATGGTTATTAATGGTTTGTTAATGGTTAATAAAATGGTATATTGATATAATGGTAATTGATATAATAATAATACTATGGTTAATGATGGTTATTGTATATTAAAGATGGTTAATGATGTTACTATGGTGATTATCTTACATGATTAATGGTTATTAATGGTATGATGTTACTAAGATAGGTCAATCTTAGATGGGTCAATCATGATGGTTATTAAACGTTTGTTAATGGTTAATAATATTGTATATTGATATAATGGTAATTGATATAATAATATTTAATCGTTATTAATATATCCATATATCTGGGTTAATAAGATAAATGGTTGTGATGGTTATGATGTTATTATGATGTTATGATGGTTATGATGGTTATAAATTTTATGAGTTAAAGATGCTACTAAGATCATATGGTTCTTAAAAATATATTTAATGGTTATTTAATGGATTTATATGATGGTTATATATACTGTATTATATATTAAAGATGGTTCATGATGTTACTATGGTTATTATCTTACATGATTAATAGTTATTAATGGTTATTTAATGGTTATTATCTATGGTTTGTTATATATTATTTATAGTTATTATATGTTAAAATATGTTACTCAGATCATATGGTTCTTAATGGCTATGGATAATTATATGGTTATGATCTTACATGATTATTACATGATAATGGATCGTTATAATCACAAATATTCATGGTACTAATATACATTATATGGATTAATTAGTATTAATCATTATTACATGGATAATGGTTACATGTTGTAATCACGCAATAACCATAAACATATATGGCACATTCTCAAGGTCATTACATGCTTAATACATGGTTTTTATATGGCACATTATTATGGTTGAGATAATATGGATATTATGGTCATTATATATTAAAATATATTATATATGGAACATTTTATGGAATATGAAATGGCTATGATCTCGGTAAAAATAGAAGATGATATGCCTTGTTGTGGATCCAGCCGTGCCTTCTTAGGAAGTACTGTAGCTTCTCAGCCATGGATCCATTGGGATGGTTCTTATATGCTTGAACAAATAATATATCTGCTTGAAACATATGTTTAACCATATAATATTCTAAGCATATATAAATATACAACCACATATATAACCACCATGATATGCTTGAAACATATATTTTTTTTGGTTATTGTATGGTTATTATGAACCATATAAATACTATTCTAAGTATTTCCATATAACCATATCTAGATAAAGTATGTGTGGTTAATTATATGGCCATATTGTGATATGGAAGAGCATATTTGGAGGTTTCCATAAATGGTGGTACCCCAAAAGCTGGATGGTTTAGAATAGAGAATCTTACTAAATTGGGATTACCCTCTGGTGAACTAACATAGCAATTGAAAATGGCCATTTATAGTGGATTTTCCCATTAAAAATGGTGATTTTCCCTAGTTATGTAACAGTTTACCAGAGGGTAGTATGCGGGTTTCAAAAAATAGGGGTACCCCGAAAACCCATGTTCAATATTAAAATGGTCATCCATGACTTGGATGATTTGGGGTACCCCTATTTTAGGAAATATCCATATGGATCAATGGATTGCTTTAAGGGAAAATTTACAGGAAACCATGGATTTCCCCATTAAATATGGGGCTTTCCTGTAAATTTTCCCTTAAACCAATCCATTGAATGGAGGAAAATATTTGGTAATTAGCTAAGTAAAGGGTGTTTCAAAGCAACTCTGGCTGAATTTTGGCTGAATGGCCCTGTGCTTGGAGGATTTTCCTTACGAATCGGAACTGGCAAACAACCCATATTACAACCCCACTGAATGGGGAATTACTAACGAGGAAAGCATTCATTGATCTCAATGATAATGGGATAGATATAGGATATTCATACGGATTAATATGGGATAGTAGTGGGATAATGATGGATGATTATGTGACTCTATGTACATTTTACCATTGATCTCAGTAAATTACAACGACCTCACTGGGACCTCACTGGAATGATGGTCAAGGGTCTTGAAAATCTTGGCCCGCGACCATGCTGGGTTTTGGAAGCAGAAGTTGTCACTCACACGACGAGGAGGCGCAGGAACCCTTTCAGAAACCCCTCTTAAGTGCCAAGGGGTATGAGGGGTCTATTGAATTTTCTCTATGATAAATCTATCTATCTAAATACAGTATATATATATATATGTACTTATATATATATATGTATACACATGTTCTCTCCTGCACAGGGGGGTCATGCACGACTGCTCCCACCGTAGCTTGACCCTGGCATCGATAAAATTGATACGCTGTCGTCAAGCAGGTGGGGCAGAGGAATTAGTGCATGTACCATATAATTTTATATACTGTATATATATATATTCATTTATTTATTCATAGAAACAGGGCCCGACCCAGTTGGTTGGGCCATGTGGCCGAGTTCTACATGGTTTGGTAACCACTTCCCATTTTTTGAAACTGCACCTGCTAGTAATCTATGATAATCTATGCATATTTTCTGAAGTGGTTGGATACTCTGCATATTTGAATATATTTGACATGATCATTCTCTTAGTTGGGCGAAACACGATAAATATACAATAACCAAAACTACCGTCTCAATTGGTAGTGTCAAGCAGCTGTCCTGAACTCTTGTCTCATCAACTTGTACTGGTCTGTTCAAACCAAATATTCCGTGGTGGATCAAAATAATCCCAATTCAGTGTGGCAATGTGGTTTTATCAGTATCTTCCCACACAACCATCCAGCAAAGGGGCCAACTGGTTTTTGCTGACCATGCAACAAAAATCAATATAGCTCAGCCCAAAACAATGACCAGACTTGTGGTCTCGTTGCTTCCCTTTCTTGGTTCCATATCCAAATTACATCCACTATTCCCTCACCTTCCAGTCACCTATCAGTTAGATAACCAACCCGACAATCATCAGGTAGAATCAACATGGTTACCTATCTCAGAGGTAACTTGAGGATTAGGGATTTCTTTTTTGCATGTTGTATCCACATATTGATCCATTCTGGGTTGGTGAAAAAAAGCCGTTGACATCTCAGCATCTCGCACTGGTGATGACCTTTTCAAAGGGTTCAACCCCCCATCTGTAGGTTATGGGGTTATCCCCGTAAGACTTTCCATGAATCTCCCCTTTTGATACTCGTTAATATCATGGCTGTCCGACAGTCCCCCCGCCCCCTCAAAAAAGGGGAACATCAGTTCAATTACGGTTGAACCTGCTACCTTTAGCTGATTATATCATAAATGTCTGTGGCTTTAATCATATTGTAGTCCCATCACCCACAGCAGGCTATGCTGGTTCATATCATCAAATGTTCCCTGATGTATGACCCATAAAATAAGCATTTCTTATCCGCCAACAGCTTTTTTTTTTTGCACAGAACTGGCCAATCAACTCCCGCGCATCGTTTCTTCAACGCCACCGGGCCGTGCTTTGCAACTCTGGCGCCTTCGCACGCCTCGGCTTAGCCGACGGCGCGTTGTTGTCGCAAGTGCTGCAACGGTCCCGGTGTGTCGTTCTTGAGCAGCGGGCGCCTGCAACCCCAGGGCAGATGCGATGTTGGGACTTAGATTTAGATGGACTTAGAGGACTTGCCACAGCGATTTGGGGTGAGTAGACGCTTTTTCACAAATTGTTATTATAGATATAGTATTAATCATTGATAGTTACATATTTATCGATCATATGAAGAATGAGGTATTCTACGGTATGCTTCGACTGGGATTTTGCATGAGATATCCCAGTTCCCATCACGAATCACCGAATCGTAGGCACTGATGATCAACGCATAAAATGCATAAAGCGATGAGTAGTTGGTGCTGTAAATGCGATAAGTTCATGACAAAGGATATGTTTCCGAAATCACCCGCAAACATATTTATAGACTTTATAGGGATTTATGATCTACTGGGTTTGCTACAGAAACCACATGCCAAAAAAAAACCATTGGTGACCTGAACAAACCCGTGTCAACACTTGCGGTTGATGGTTTTAAGGACTTGCCCAACTATGCCCAACTGTCAAGAGAAAACATTTTCGGACATATGGCAGTGTGTCAAAACCTTGTACCCCTGGTGAACATCAAAATAGCTGGTAAATGGATGTTAATCCCTCTAAAAATGGTATGTATAGGTATTGATCCATAGCCATATGCTTTCACATTTGTCCTAAACCCTAAACCCAACGGTTGGTCTCTGCAGATTATGTCCAGGATTTCATAAATGATTGTTGTCAGGTTGATGGTCAACCATTTTTCAACTTTTTGCGATTGATGAAATGGTTGCTATTTATGTGTTCAACGCATTTCAACGCATTTCAATCCATTTTTTTTCATGGGGGGCTATTCAGTTTATTACACTATCTGCCTGGAACCCCCCCAACGAAAAGTCCGCCTTCACCTCAATGCTGCGGACCTCGGCGGGTTTTGTGTCTTTGGATGTTTCCCTTCAGAGTAACCAGCAACAAAAAATGAAAAAAAAAGTAAACTGCGTTAAAATAACTAGGGATCAAGAATGATAAAATATGATAAATGTATGTTGTATCCTTTTTGGGCTTACAACATATGCTAAGTCGCTAATTAAGGGCATTCTTGACGGCTTTGGGTTGAAATGGAAAACACAGCCCCGTAGTAGATGGATAAATTCGCACCATTTGGATTTTGTTGGCTTCTTGGTGTCGAGAAAACTGATCAGCCATGGTAGAGCACCATGGTTTGTTGGGTGTCCACGTTAAACCACTACACGAGTCCATCATGGTCATTAATCTGAGCAATGGTTGATGCGAATTTTCAGGCATCCCAGCTGGTGAATTCTCGTATCTCTAAAGTTCCTATCAACAATGGGCAAACTCTGTGTATTCAAAAACTCATTTCTGGCACACGAGCAAAGTCTAGCAACACGTGTCACCCTACCCATCTAAGGTTTATCCACTATTATATCATATTATATATAATAGTTATAAATATAATAATGATATAATATGATATAATATGATATAGGACAATAACAATATTATATCATGATTATTATCATTATTGTTGTTATATTGTTATTATTCATTCATTCGTCATAGGTTTACCCACTGTCATATATATTCTCATATGGTTAATTACATCGGCTGTTAGTAGCTACATCCCCTTTTCGGATGTCTTGTCACTATAAAAATCTCAATGTTGGCGGATAAATCGCCGCAATGGTGAACCCATCCAGTTGGCCTAGTCTTTGTCTGATCTGACCTAGGATGTAAAAACTTTGGTCTCTATGCATTTCAGGAATTTACCAAAAACATGAGATATTCATATTATGAATATATAGTTATGGGTCAATTACATCATCTTATGATTTATTTACCCTTAATTTCTGGATTATTTTGCAATTTTGACGGTTAGGACCCATGCTGTTGTTGGTGGTGACATCCCTCATGCCTATATTCCCATTTACTGTTGCTTTGAATTGTGATGTATAAATCCATAAATCCAAATTTGAATGGTGAAACCATCCGGTTGCTGGTCAAAAAACAATTTTTGACAGATGAACACCCAGTTCATTCCCCTGAATTCATTCCAATTGATATAGTATTATACCTGGCACATGTCTATTGTTTTGCAATCATAAATCATTCATAATTATTCCACATATACTTATTTTCACATGTACCAATATCTATATCCATGTACGAAATATACAATACACAAATACATATATATATATAATATACAGATGCGTTTACCATCATCATCTTCCATAGAAAATTCGAACATTCCTCCAACTAAATGGAGGTTTTAATTGTAAAATCAACTATAAATACGGGATTTTCCAGCAAGCCATGTTTGACACCGGAATTAGGCACGCTGAGCGCCCGTGCTTCGAAAGCTGTGAGCAAACGAGCCGAACATTGCGTTCCACGACGGAACTAGGCCGTGGCAGTGGCATGGCTCAACAGGAAAGGGAGGAAGTTACCCTCTGGTAATTTAACATAACTATGGAAAGATCCACCATTTTTAATGGGAAAATCCACTATTTCTATGGCCATTTTCAATAGCTTTTTGTATGTTTACCAGAGGGTAAGCCAGTTCAGCCACAAAATCGCTTTTCAGCAAAAAGAAATGGTGGTCTTGTGGATGAATTGAAGATGTGGAGCACGGCATAGAAAATTCACCACCCAAATTGGATGATCGGGATTGGCCATTGCTAAGTTGATTTGGCTCAAAGCTTGGGGATGAAATGGATGGAAATGGTCTGTATGTATATAATATATATATATATTATATGGATCTAGTATGGATATAACCTATTATATATATATATATCACATATTGTTCAGATGTAGTATATTAATTTAACCATCCAATGAAAATCATTCTTTTGCGCCATACCCAAGTTGAAAACCCAGAGGTATGCTAGCTTGAAGATTTGGGAATGGTTTATACCACCTATTTATGGCGATTTGGGGGATGGGTTATTATTGTTTTAACCACAACACACCCGTGTTTTTCGACCACAACCATTGCTGTTCCGTGATGCCCCCGAAGTTGAAGTATGCGGTCGCCAGGATCTGCTGAAACCATCGCCTCATCAGCCTTTGGCTCCTATTCCACTTTAATCATTGGGTGGAATCCCCTCCACATGGGCACTTTTATGTGTATATATCTGGGTAAATTATAATAGTTCACTAACCTGAATAGTTCGGCCAGCTATTGGGATGATTCCCCCTAATTAACCATGATTCCAGGGTTCGGGAGAACAGTGAGGTCGTTATGATTCAGCCAGATATGTGTATGTATACATACATATATATATATATATATGCACCCTGTTGGTATTTCCTACACTCCGTTCCCCTTTTGCAAAAAAGAAACGTATTGATCTACCGTCCGATGTCATCAAAGCATAGTTTGCTGGAACATCGGATTTAGTTCGATGCTTTTCCGGGCAAACTAAACCACCATTTAGTTCGCGGATGTTCCATTAAATCAAAAATCTGCATATTCCCAGCATTTTCCTACAAGATGGTGCCACATAGTTAGCAAAGTTGGTGAACATAACTGCAATTTCACTAGGGTTTATGGTAGATATATCCAACTAGTTAGACTATGTATCTAATGATGTCTTACAGACATTTATAGACCATCTCATATCTTATTGTCCCATCATTTTTCCCATTATTTTCCTATAGCTGATTGTCCCATTAAATGCCATATAATGTCCATTTTCCCATCATTTTCCCAGCATTTGCCAAGGCATTTTGGAGATGGATTACCCGTAACCACGTGGCTTTTCTGAGACGTTCTGAGGCTACGGGCCTGGGTTTTTTGTCAAGACGTAAAGAGCGAAGCGACCTGTCAGGGATGCCCCACAGGTAACCCTGGTGATTTAAGCATCCAAAATTGGCATCTATATTTTTTCTAACCTGCTGAAAACTTGGGGATGTAGAATTGATTTTTATAGTGCTGCTGTTTGAAAAAGCAACTAAAGATATGCTACTATGGCATACCTCATGGTTTATGAACGATATATCGAGCTAATTCCTCTGATTCACAACCTAGCTGATCCTGGTGAAGCGGTTGCCATTTTTGCAAGCAAACATCGTATTTCATCTATTCAATGGGAATTCCAGGATGCTAAAATGGAGGCACTGTACCATATAAAGCCATATTTTGTGGTGATATTCCATTACATAGGCCCTATATATGGTAGGTACCTCCATTTTAGGATCCTGAAATTCCCATTGATCTATTTTTTTTTTTTTCGGCTATGTCGGATCCAATTCGTGATGTGCCACGATCAAAGGGGAAAAAACATGCTTGGCTCCGAAAAACATATCCCCATTGGACTACCATCGTTCTATATTCTCGTTATATCATACAAACTGCAAAAAAACTGTGTATTTGGGATATTTCTACATTGTAATACCATCAATATCCCAAAACATGCCAAAATACATACGTATATATATATATATATATGTGATTATATATGTAAGATTGTGATTACGTGGAGATTTCCTACCGGGGTACCCCCAAATCATCCAAACTTCCACAATTTGAACAGGCTTTGGTAAATGTCCCATGGATTGGGGATTTGTTTCACATCACCAAAACAAGTATCAGTTGGAGATCATATCCCGAATAATACCCCTATCCCATCTCATTATACTAGTTGGTTGAAAACGGTTTCCCAATCCTATGGGTTATCATAATCCCCAGTAAACCAGGTAGTAGTAAAATCCCCTATAGCAATCCTGCTAGTTTAATAAACCAGGATATTTATACCAGGATATTTATACTGGTTAAAAACATACTGGTTATACAAACAGCCATTAGTAAACCAGTATAATTAAACTATAGCCACTAATAAACTATAGCCACTAATAAACTATAGCCATTACCATCTGGTTGTTTAACATAGCCATGGAAAATCACCATTTTTAATAGGTAAACCATCTATTTCTATGGGCCATGGCTTCCATGGCTATGTTAGTCATAACCAGAGGGTAACTATAAAACTATCTGGTTGGTGGTTTTAACCATCTTGAAAACTATGAAAGTCAATCGGAAGGATGACATCCCATATATGAAATGGAAAAACAAAAGCCATGTTCCAAACCACCAACCAGATAGATTTATACCCCAAGACACTAGTTATATATATATATCATAATGGTTACCCTGTAGTAAATCATCATAAATCATCTATTTCTATGTGCCATGGCTTCCATGGCTATGTTAGTCATAACCAGAGGGTAAAAGAAAAATTGTCAATAACTCAAAAGTTGGTGTAAACACTTAGTCAATGGTGGTTGCAAAAATGGTTCATACATGGCTATGTTAGTCATAACCAGAGGGATTAATATATATATATATATATTATGGAAAAAACAAAAGCCATGTTCCAAACCACCAACCAGATAGTGTATATATATATATGATTAATATGATTTTGAATGCCTCGAAGCGTTGACAAGGACAAAAACAACTGTGGATCCCAGCTCAGTCGCTTCGCTGGTCGAGGGGTTGCAACTGATGCAAACCTCGAATCCAAAGAAAGAGCGCGAAAAAGCTTCATTTCACAGGGGATTTCATTGGATTTAATAAGGCTTAATGGGATTTAATAGGGTTTTAATGTACGATGGGATATATCAGACTGAATTATACAGGGAATATATGGGGAAATTATGGTGATGTTTGGGATTTAATGGGATTTCACCAACAGCAATGGGAATATCATGGGACTAGAACCAACAGAATATGGGATATAGATCTGGTTGAATTATAATGATTGACTAATCTGAAAATAGCTAAAGTAAGGCCATCAGGGAATAGTTATCCTTACTTTAACCATCATTACACTGAGGTCGCAGTGAGGTCGTTATAATTTACCCAGATTTATAAACTATTGGTACGAATATGTGTATAAATATACGGTAAGCAGTAGGTTGTATAGTGGTGATAATTTTCCGCACCTAGAATGCAGTTAGCATGTAGGTTGTAAGTAGTATGTAACTTTGTAAAAGGCATAAGGCTAGCATACAAATAGTAGACAATTGTCACTACAGTACCCGACAGCCCACATGTATATATAATATGTATGTGTATATATATATATACACATAGCATATATATATATATAAATATAAATGCATGTATGTATGTATGTATGTATGCATGTATGTATGTATGTATGTATGTATGTATGTATGTATGTATGTTTGTATGTATGTATGTATGTATGTATGTATGTATGTATGTATGTATATACACGTACATAACTTAGTTTAGGACGATAGGAGTAGTTTGAAATCACAGCTACGGCACTCAATGACCAAATGCCATTGCTCAACTCAAGCAAAACTAACCGTCTGAAATGGTGAGGTTGGCCAGTGAGTTTTTATTTAAAAAAACACATGTTCCCTTTCTTCTATATCCAGGTTGAGGAATCAGTTTATAATCATTTAACTTTTGAGGTATTGACCATTTTTCTTTTGCCCTCTGGTTATTCAACATAGCCATGGAAAGTGGTCCATAGAAATAGATGATTTTCCCATTAAAACCTCCATTTATTTTGGGGATTTTCCAGTTCGCTATGTTAGTCATAACCAGGTGGTATATGGGTCAAGTCAAAATTGAGGTACCAATGGATCCGCATGATTGGCTTTTTGTATTGAACAAATATAATTGGAGCATTTTTGCGAGGCCAACCGTTTTGACCCCATATCTACTCAAGATTCAGCTCTGCGTTCGAATGTGTCGCCCCAAATTCACTGGTTCATCATCAATTTCCCTACACTGGCCATAATTTGATGGTAAATCCGGCATTGTAGTAGGGAAATCCAGCTAATGTCTATTTATGTCTGGAAATCCATAAGTACAAAATACAATCAAAATACCACAATGGATATACATTATGTCTACTTTTCAGCTTCCACACCCAAATATCATCTTGTTCGGTGGAGACATCCCACTGTGTCCCCATCCTATTCCGGTGGCAGGTGATATTCCCATTGTCGCTAAACACAATTACTAAATTGAAACATAGCCATTTCTCAAACATCACATTAATAGATATTCCTAATTAGTCTATATCCCATGAATCTACAAAAAAACATATGTATGTATATTAATATAATATATATAATATATATATATTATATCTTGTGTATATATACTGTATGTATATATATAAATACATAAGTTTCATTATAGTTAGTTCTCACTTGTTATATCATTAGATATTAGTTGTTTATATAAATATAATGACAAAAATCTCGATCATACAACTAATATCCTATAAAACATCCTATGGTGTTAGTAGGATCATATCATGACATACAATCTCTATATAATATTAGGATCATACGTCTATTTAAGTGCTTCAAAACATCGGTTTACACCGAGGCGCCAAGCGATCCTTGAGCTTCTCCGGAACCCACCTCTTCCCACTGGCCAAGCGTAGCCACCAGCCGTCCGCACCTGGGAGACCACAGGAGGGTGGCCCCCTCCCAGTGATGTGAATGTTGGTTTATAAACACCAGGAATACTATAGTTATCTATAGCTATATCTACCATGAACATCCATAAACCATAGAATTCAGCCACAGCCATGTCTCAACTTTCTCAACTTAGCTATCTTATTGGGGGCACCGTCCTGCATAGACAATCACCATTCTTAATGGATATTAATGGATAAATCAACAAACTCAACTAAATGGCAATTTTCAATAGCAAACTGTTAAATTACCAGAGGGTAACCCATCAGTGGCTCACTGGAGTTGGGATATGAAAATCACTTACGATCAAATTGTGGGGGTTACAACTTAGAACCATCAAACATATCTGGTTGGTGGTTCCAAATATATGGAACTATAAAAATGTTCCAAACCACCAACCAGATATGGTGATATGATTTATCAATGAGGCTTAGTTGATGGGTGGGAGGGCTATTATATTAATGGGGATTCAATATATAATTGGGATATTAATATACCATATATTGGGATATTAATATATTATTAATGGTTATCATATATTTTATTATATATATATATTACTTATTGTTACATATAGTTATTAACCTACCTGAGATAGATTGGGAACGATCATCATCAACTGGGTTCCTTCATGGGGATTGAAGCCACTGAGTCACTGACGTCTCTGACCCCCTCAACAAGGTCCGTTTAGGTTTACCCGGCCTGAAACATACAAAACATTTATGGAAAGATCCACCATGCTATTCATGGGAAAATCAACTATTTCGACTGGGCCATTTTCAATAGCTATGTAACAAATTACCAGAAGGTATGTTTAAGGCGAATCCTAACCATCAACAACCTCGACGATTTTTTGAACGACCCAACTACTTGTACTTTAAGACAAAAACGCTACATTTTTGTATAGTCATTCGGACCCCATAGTCATCAAACATTGAACATGATTATTCCCAATATATGGAAACATAAAACCATGTTCCAAACCACCAAGCAGTATATATATATATATTAATGTGGGTAAAACAATAATAAACATCAATAAACCATCCCCCAGTCATGACCATTTTTATAGGTGGTATGGTTACCATTCCCAGTCATGGCTTTATGACATGGTTTTTACCCATTATATGGATCAAATCATGAGTAGAGAATAACCTGAGTGCTGCTTCGGACACCATTCCAAATGGTGTCCGAAGACTTTCGGACCCTTTCGGAACATGATTTGCATCCTGTTAGTGGCACACGGGCTAGAAATCTCTGCTGAAAGACAATGAATACCAACCACATATACGAGTGAGAATTGTAATTACCCTCTGGTGAACTAACATAGCAATGGAAAATGGCTATTTATAGTGGATTTTCCCATTAAGAATGGTGATTTTCCATTGCTATGTTAGTTCACCAGAGGGTAAGCAGCGACATGTATAATGATGCTATATGTGATTTACCAACCATATAATGATAATGCATTTTACCCTCTGGTAATCAAACACTGAAAAAATGAATTTATGTGATCACTGGTAAATAATCTGGTAAATCAAACACTTAAATAAAAAAAAACTTGGATTATTTTAGCATTACAAAACCTAGATTTAGTTCGGTGATTTCCCAGCTACCAACGGTTATTTATGACATTTCTTGGGGCCCAGCTACCCAGCACCCAACGGTAACCCATGTACTGCCGGGCTACATCGAGTGCGTTCCACGACCAGGAACAAAAGGCCTGTGTCAGGAGCATTATTAGACAATGGTCTTGATATGGGTATGGCATGAATTGGCTAGATGGATGTTGAATATTGTTTAATACTGACAATAGATTCAATAAACTAAACAAAATCCAAAACAAGATGTTGTCCCCTGAACCTTAAATTGGACCAATCCCAATATCGTGGTTACTCACAATTGCAAATCCTGAAGTTCAGGTTCCTCCCAATCTGGGCTATGGGTGAACATGCCGTCACTTTGAGGCTCCGACAATTCCGTTTATGTTTGTAACCCACAACCACGCTCCGACAATCTAACCTAACAATGGAATTTTCACATTTACGTCCACTTGTGGATGGCAAGCTCATATATTTAGATATTCTTAATGTAGATATCTTTCACACATGTTTGTTGCGTGGTACATGAAGGTTATCGATTTACAACAGCCAACAACAATGCCTCATGATACGTCTTAATATAGATAGCCTTCAATTGTTTTGGTGGGGTACGTGATGGTTACACATTTGTAGCCTGCCCCAATTATAGCAAGCCCCAAAAAGATCAAAAACACAATCGAGAAAACAGTGATATATCATGATATATCCCAGCCCTTCATATCCTTTTCATGCCTTTTCGATCTTTTTGGGGACCACTTTTCATGCCATCTGAAGCCATTAATGATTCACCAGTCACTTAAGATCTTTGCGCCTGGAGGAAGGAAGAGTGGTTCCTGGACACGGAAGATTCATGGCCTATCTGGTGGTTGACCTACCATTGATGTTGGCAATATACCTGGTTAATAATGGTTAATATATGGCTAATAATGGTTAATATTAATGGCTATATGGTTAATGATGGTTAATCATAAACTGGTTGGTGCTTGACCTACCCCTCTGAAGAATGATGGAGTGAACGTCAGTTGGGATTATGAAATTCCCAATATAATATATAGAAAGTATTGGAAAGTAAAAAAAAGAAGTTCCAAACCACCAACCAGCTATTCAATGGGACTTTACAACCCAATTAACCATAACTAACCCAATTCATGGTTTGGTAAAGAAGGTTAACCCCAATGACTCATCTGGATAAATTGTAATATTTCACTCACTTGGAATATGGCTATATTGGGATAATTCGCCTGTACACCATGATTCCAGTGAGGTCACACGAGGTCACTATAGTTTGCCCAGAATAATGTGGTAAACTCAATTAATTCTACAGTGTCATTTTGGGGGAGGGTTTATAGAAACCATTTCTGGTGATATTGGGGGCAGTCCATTATTGGGTTTATCACATGAGTCTTAATGTTGTAATACACTTGCATACACTGGTACAAAGTGGGGCCAGCTAAGTTGGTTTATAACTCCAATAACTATGGTTTATGGTACTTATAACTATAGTTCCTGGGGTTTATCAACCAATTAACATCACTGGGGGGCCCCACATTGTATATTACAATGTATCGACATTATTGCACTTGTATTGACTCAATTCATGATTCTTTAGGTTCAACTAAAAGGATCTGGGATTAACAGTACTACTTAGACAAAATGTATTGTTAAACCAAAAAGTATCGTTAAACAATACTAGTGAAATCTAGTGTTCGTCATTTTTTGACTTATTTTAACATATGCAATTATTTTGTCGGGTATAAACACTTTTGATAAACATTCGAGAGATGATTTCCCCTAAAAACCTTAGCAGCCCATTCAGAATTTCGTGTATCTCTAAAGACCGCTTGCGTCTCGACCGGCGTGACATTGAACAAGTTTCTGCTTGGATCTGGTTAGTGAAACCTCACATCTAAAAAAAATGATTGGTTTCACTGACCGTCTAAAGATATACTGGATGGTGGTATACCTACCCCTCTGAAAAATATGAGTTCGTCAGTTGGGATTATGAAATTTCATATACTATATTGAAAGTCATAAAATTCCATGGTTCCAAACCAACAACCAGATATAATCCCATTATATAATTATATGATTATTAACAATTATATGGTTATGAAATATAATCCCATGATTATTATGGTTAATGGTTCCAAACCACCATCTAAACATATATAAGTTACATAGTGGTCTGATTTCACCATGGAGTCCCGAAAAAAATAAAAATCATCGTCAAAAATCATCTATTGGGGAGCAGTGGTCCATCCACTGCTAAACGAGCTTGTATAAGGTCCGATAGTAACCAATCAGCAACCAACCATACCGTCTGGTAAACATACAAATAGCTATTGAAAATGGCCATTTATAGTGGATTTACCCATTAAAAATAGTGATTTTCCATAGCTATGTTAGTTTACCAGAGGGTAGTTCTTCAATTGCATCTCCACTTGTGGTTTCTTTTTCACCGTATACGTCACGGACGATATAGAAACGCCCCCACTGGGTGAGACGTTGTGACTCTTGCAGGCACAACTGTGCGAAACAAGTCACACAGCTGCAGTTGTAGACAGCCAGAGATCTGGAACCCCAAATGGGACAAATCATAGATTGCTCTAAGTCCCTAAGTGTCGTACAAAAAGATACACATTTTATGAGCCTTATGATCTTTAATCCGTACTGGGTATTATATGACATGTTACTCCTAGAAGAAATCGAGTCATCAAGCAAGCTTTGGCCAATGATTTTTTTTAAACACCAAGACGTTGAAAATATGTATGTATCAAATATATATATATATATGTATAAACTCATTTGGTTGATGTGACTTGAACAACGTCACTTCCTCGTTAGTTGGCCTGCAAATTTTACACCGGCAAATGTTGATGTTAGGGATAACCTACTTCCGCGTTAGTCGGGGGGTAGATTGTTATGAAAATAAACTCTGGGTGATATTGATACCGTCTGGTTATGTCACATATATGGAAAATGGCCCATTTAGATGATTTTCATGATTTACGGCAATTAGAAATGGTGATTTTCCAGTTCGCTTCGTTAAATTGCCAGAGCTACAATTCACAATTACCAGATGTCTGGTTCAGTTCTGCAAAATGATGAGTCTGCCAGTGAGGTAACCATAATAAACATACCAAACTTGGGGCTGCCTGAAATACCAGCCATAAACATGATGACTTGGGGATGTTTCACTATCGGGTTTACAGTTTTTTCACGATTTGTGTGTTTTCTTTTTGGCGGAACGGGCTCCATTTTCAACCAGCTGTCTGTGCTGAGCAGAATTCTAAATAGTTTTGAATTGGGAGTTTCTGAAAATGACCATGGTTCAATGGGAATTTCAGGATCCTAAAATGGAGGTACTGTACCATATGTTAGGCCATATTTTGTGGTGATATTCCCTTAAATAGGCCTTATATAGGCCTTATATATGGTAGGTACCTCCAATCTAGGATCCTGAAATGGCCATTGAATGGTTTGCGGTCTCCAAGAAACTGGGGAACATCCTCCCTTTGTGCATCCAAACCATCTGTCCAACGTATGTATGTGTATATATATATATACATATGCGTGTATATATATATATGTATATATATATATATGTATAGAGAGTTGTTTTTTCCTATCGATGTCTATATCTATATCATTGTATATAATTCTATATCTATATACCTATGTGTCTAACTCTGTGAATATACATATATATATATATATATATGTGTGTATACACATATGTATATGCCTATATATATATACATACATATATATGATATATATATATATATATACACGTGCATACAATATATGTATCTTTGTCTATATGTTATTTTACATCTATCTATATATATATATATACTTACTAATATATCTATCCTTTCATTCCATTCATATTTATATGTACCATACACACACACCATGAGTGAGGCTGTGAGTGGCTAAAAGAAGGCCATCGCTACACCGATTAGGATGAAATCACAACAGCCTTTGTGCAGCCACAAAAATTGCAGCCAGTTAATTGATGGTTCTCACAGTTATGGCCATGGCTATCAGTTATAAGTACTGACAAGTCACCCCATTTATAGAATGTTTCTCATCCCATAGAAATAACCAGTTAGAACTTGTTTTTATGGCCATAACTGTGGTTATCAGAAAATCTCATGGTTCATCACCCTCAAACCCTACCAGGATTGGCTGTTTTTTTTGGTCTACCATGGGTTTTTCGCCAGTTTTCAGACGGTGTTTCACCATCCGAAAATAAGCTCCATGTTGTGAAAAAAAATCTGAAAAAAACACATGGTGACATGGTGAACTTCAAGGCCCAATGAGCCCATGATCATCCATGATCATCCATGATCTTTCGCCAAGGACGTGCAAAGGTGTCCCCCTGAAAAAAACGTGAAACATGAACCTTTGCTCAACAGCTGCAAACATTGTTGCAACTGTCTCAAGAATTAGATTCGGTGATTCGGATGTGGGTCGAGAATCTCCCTGGATTTTTTCGTGGTTCTCCTTACTGGAGAAGAATCATTGCCAATCTTAGATACCCTGCAAAAAAATAAATTCTTTGCTGGTGAACGTAGATATTCCCATTAATACCAAAAGACTAAAGGATTAAAGTATCTATGTAAGATTGACCTATAGTCAAGAATTTCTTGGTTCTCCTTATTGGAGAAGACCAGGTCGATGAATAAATCAACATTGCGTCGATCTCAATGTCGATCCACAGCCACACTTAACGAGATCAACGAAGACTTAACGATCACTTCGATCCGCTCGGTTCCAGAGTCTTCTTCCAAGACTCACACTCTCTGGCGGGACAAAGACGCCACCATCCATGACATCTGATTGTTGTAACGGACTGTAGGACCGCGGGTTGGGTTCCGCATCATATCCTTGGAGCGCATGGCATCATGGGGGGTGCGCCACTGATGTATAGGTATGGTGGTTTCCATAGGGTACCCCGAAAATGCTGGATGGTTGATGGAAAATCCCAATCTAAAATGGATGACTGGGGCTACCCCCATGACGTTTTACGGAAACCTCCATATGCAAATGCACTAAGTCTTCAGGTTGACGGATGTTGGTGAACATTGAGGTTTGAAGCACCCAGCCATCGTAAGAATGAGTTGCCTGCTGTGAATCATTTGCCAATCTCAATGTGCGGACTTTGGACCATCGAATGTGACACGAATTCGCAGAAAGGTGTGGCCAGTTCTTGATACTATACTACATATACTAAATGTTGTCGTGGTCGATGATAGTAATATTGATGAATTATAAATGTTACTATAATATATGTGTGTATATATATATATACAGATAACGATACATATACAAGTCTGCCATAGCTCTATACACCTTATACATGTTGAACAAACTAGCCACTAGTCACAGGATACAAAAAACATGATGGATGATCAATGGTGGTCCATGATGGATCTTAACGATCACGGTGACGCTGACGACGATGCTGCTAAGGACCATGAGGAGCGGATGAAGGGCCTGGTAAACATACAAAAAACTATGGAAAATCACCGTTTTATACAAATTTTAATGGGTAAATCAACGAACTAAATGGCAATGTTCAATAGCTTTTTGTATGTTTACCAGGCCGGGTAATGACCAAGACACAAGACATCATAGAAGAGGATAACTATCACAGCGACGATATGGGTGTGTCTGAACATGGGGTATACCTACTTTAATAGCTACTTCAATGGAGAAATGACCATCAACCATTAGATGTTGGGGTAACCTATTTTCAGGCTTAGACGGTTAGCCCAACATAGTCTAAGTGGCTAGTAACTGGGCTAAAAAACCCACATCATCCCAGTTAGAAGAGGTTAAGCAGTGTTAACAACTGAACTGATTGTGGCAACATGTGCGTGTAGATAATGATTGTGATGATAATGACCGGAATGACCTCAATGACCCAAAAAAACACAATGACCAAAATCACGGCATACATATACAATGTGGGGCCCCCCAGTTATAAATTGGTTTGTAAGCCCCAGTAACTATAGTTATTTGCGTACCATAAACCATAGTTATGGGAGTTATGTTCACCAACTCAGCTATCGTTTGGGGGCACCACCTTGTATATAAATGTGTTTAAATGGTTCTCATCAATGTCCAATTAATCGAATTAATAATTGATATGATGAACTATTCCCAATGGTGGTTGCAGTACAAGGATTTTAAAAAAGGCTCAGAATCTCCGGGTCCATTGGTCCATGTTCAACCCCATACCGAATGGACCGAATGGATTTATGATGGCATGGTTTAAACTCAAGAAACATCATGATGTAGCCCGGCTGTAGAAAAACTGCAATGATGAAAATTCCAGTGTCATTAGAACTTGAAAATTCTAGAACTTGGATGAAGTTGATTGCAGCAAGAGAAACTTCGTCCTGTAACACCACGTTAAAGTGTTGAAAGCATGGTTTCACATGCGCAATGCATTCTGGCCCCAGTTGACTATCATCTGGTTATTTAACATAGCCATGGAAAATCACAATGTTTAATAGGTAAACCATCTATTTCTATGGACCATCTATACCATGGCTATGTTAGTCATAACGAGAGGCTACTTGAAACAAGTGCATGTATTTGTAGCCCATCTTTACAGTTATGGCCATTTATCAGTTATAAGTACTTATAACCCCATTTATAGAATGTATAATCCCATTTATAACCAGTTATAACTGGTAAATGGCCATAACTGTAAGCAATATCGAATCAATTGACCTGGACCCGAAACCAAACCTCGCTGGTCAGCGATTTTGGACAACACCCGCTGTTGATCATGGGCTGGGGTAACCGGGTAGCATTTTGGCCATGACTTGGGCTGGGGGTTACCCTTCATCAACGAGGCTTTGTTTGCTAATTCAGGGTTGACAAAAAACATCGCGGTATACCAAGATTATACCAAATCTTGAGCAGTATGTGTATATAAAAACATATAGATACCAATAAGAATCATATCAAATAACATATGGTGTACCATAAAATCACCATCTGATATTGCATGTATCAAGAATATTGATCCATTAATTATCCATATCAATTGTTATACCATTGATATTTGTTGAGGACGTAGAACACACCAAGGTGGTATATGGGGATACAAAAAAGACAAGTTGACAATTTGCCACATGAAAAAACATATTAACTACATGTTTTTTTTGAACAGTAAATACACCACTATACTATATCATTAATTGAGCCAAAAATATTATCCATGGATTATTCCTTTGTATATCCCATTGTATTCCCATAACATGGTTAGTTTAATCCCCATTATGAAACAGAAAGGCATACTATAGGTAAACCGTACTATTAGTAAACTTGAGTTTTGGGCAATAACATAGCCCTTATATCCCCAAAATGTATGGCATATATATATATACCAATAATCATACTATCAAATCATATATGTTATAAATATCTTTATCAATCAGCTGGCATTTTTCATACCTATCAAACTGGATACCATCGTCTCACCTGGGTAAATCAAACTACCCTCTGGTAAACGTTAACAGTTTGCTATTGAAAATGTACCATAGAAATAGTTGATCTACCTAGTATAAATGGTGATTTTCCAGTTCGCAAACTGTAAACGTTTACCATTTCGGGTAAATCTTTCAATCATCACTATAATTCACATTTTTAGCAATACAAAACCTATAGATCACCATAAAAAGCCTAGGGAATCCCATAGGCTCATAGGCTCCCTATTTCACTAAGCTGACATCTTCGGCCTCCAAAAAACATCGGTGGAATCATGGTGCCATGCAGGAACCGATGAACCGGAGCTAGCCGGCCTGGTAAACGTTAACAAAAAACGATGGAAAGATCCACCATGCTATTAATGGCTAAATCCACTATTTCGACTGGGCCATTTTCAAATAGCTTTTTGGATGTTTACCAGAGGGTACCTACCATATATATATATATATATCCATATATGTTTGGCCAATTTTTGTAAGGCCTATGTTTCAGGGAATATCCCCAGAAAATACGGCCTGAAAAATGGTACTAACATACCTCTATTTTAGGATCCTGAAATTCCCATTGAATATATTACACATACTAACCACGGTGTATATGATGAATTTACCCAGATTCGCATAGTTTTTGATGGTCAGGGAAAACATATAAATACGTATATATATATACACTCACCATGGTGAGTAATGATGGTATACTAGTAGTAGTGTGTTACCATAGAGCTTAATACTCACTGACCATAATATATGGTATGTAACATATTACATCTATTACGACAAACTATAAACCCACTGTAGCATATCTGGTTGGTGGTATACCTACCCCTATTAAAAATCATGGAGTTCGTCAAATGGGATGATGACATTCCCAATATGCTGGGAAAGTCATAAGATTCATGTTCCAAACCACCAAGCAGTAGTAGTTAAATGGATACTTAAATGGCTATCAAAAATGATTATTCCCAATATATGGAAAATAAAACCATGTTCCAAACCACCAAGCAGTATATATATATTAATGTGGCTAAAACAATCATAAACATCAAGAAACCATCCCCCAGTCATGACCATTTTTATAGGTGGTATGGTTACCATTCCCAGTCATGGGTTTGTGACTTGTTGGTATACCATTATTAACCTTTATTAACCATTATTAACCTTTATTAACCATTATTAACCACTATTAACCACTATTAACCAATATTAACCACTATTAACCACTATTAACCACTATTAACCAATATTAACCAATATTAACCAAGATTAACCACTATTAACCTTGTTGGTATACCATGAACATACCAAGTTGCCAACAACACTGACTGCACTCGGATCAATGCCCGCTTGATCCAGTTCATCAGCGAGCACGCTGCCCACGTTGTTCGCGTCCAGGCCGCTTAAGGTTTGACACACCTCCTAGGGCGTTTAGGGCGTTCGCGAGCAACGCGCCATTGAATAAACCATTGGGAAACGAGCCTCAAGAAGTGGTGAATACGGTGCATCCGAGAAATCCCAGAAACCAAAAGGATGGTTGAAATCCCACCCAAATAATGGGATGTTTACCACCTATCAACTGCAGAATTTCGCTGGCCCCACTGTATTTTATGGTGTTTCACAAGTGGTAAATAATGGTGAAACAAAGCATCTGTTTAAAATATCGATATTTTCAGCTGGGATTGTCGTGGATTAACAAACTAGGCTTAACAATAATTGAACCCAACCAGACTGGGATAACTCATATCAAAAAAGTGTCTGGAAATGGCGGAATCCTCGAAAGTGAAACCAATTCATGGCCATTGAAGTGGGAAAAACATCAAAATTCTGGCTACTGACCCAGTTTTCAGACAAACCCATCGAGAGAATTGAATTGAAATTATACAGGGGCTATATATATATATATGTATTATGTATGTATATATATATATATGTATATGTATATATATATATATGTATTCTATATATATAAATAATATATATATATGTATAATACATATATATATATATATGTATAATACATATATATATATGTATAATATAATTATATATATATATATGTATAATACATATATATATATATGTATAATATAATTATATATATATGTATAATATAATTATATATATATATATGTATATTATATATAATAATCTGGAAATGATAATATCCGGAAATATGTATATCAATGATTATCAGTCATTCTAACATGTGCATTTTTCCACTTAGTCAGCGGTTTGCACCTCGTAAATAACCAAATATATACCTACATAACTGCGGCTATTCCATGAATTTAAGTGCACTACCCTCACATGGGGATATTTAAATTGGATCGTTGATCTTTGTGGTGCCCCATAGTTAGCTAAGTTGGTTTATAACTCCAATAACTTGGGTTTATGGTAGACATACCTCTACCTAATGGGGGTTATAAACCAACAAACATCACTGGGGGGAAACCACCTTGTAACTGGTTGGTGGTATACCTACCCCTATGAAAAATCATGGAGTTCGTCAGTTGGGATGATGAAATTCCCAATATGATGGGAAAATCATAATCCATTCCATGGTTCCAGTCACCACCAACCAGTTGTGGTTATATATATATATGATTAATATGATATGATTAATATGATGATCTAGAGTTTATAGATGTCATTAGATGTCTATATTAATAGTGATATATTAATAGTGTCATTAATTGGTCCCCAGGTCTTTAGTTTTCATCCTAACATGGGGATATCATGGAAACCATGGCATCCCAAGCTGCAACCCTCACCGTCTTTTACCGTCCTCGGCCGCACTATCCGCCACGCGCACCTTGGTTTTTACATCGACACGGATGTGTAGCCCCTAACAAGAAATGGAGATGTAGGATACAACAGGGATTTACTATGATTTACCTAAATTTCCCAACAAGAACTTGTGATAAACTTGGGTCATTTAACAATTCCATAGGATCTTTTTGATGTTTTTACCCAACAAAAACACGGAGAAAAGGTGGTCCCCCATAGGTTAGTTTTTAAGCCTAGGGCGAAAAACTAGTATGGAACTAGTCAATGGGGATAGAATATGGGTAGAGCAACAATAATGTCTATGATACATGTATATTTGCTTCTGAAAATAGGCTTTACCCCCAAAATGGTCATCTTAATGATAAATTGATCATCAAGCAGAAGAAAAAAAGGCTTACCGTACCTGATTTTCAGACAATGCAAAATGTTCACTGGTTCTTTTATCTTGTTTCAGTATGGAAGTTTCCTGGCCAATTTAGTATTGAACACCCGTGGTTTTGGGGAACCCCCGTTCTATGAAACACCCATTGCTGGTTGCTTGTCCATTTTGGGGTTCGAGGGAGATACGCCGGCCCCCTTGGCATTGTGAATAAAAATACCAACCCATCATTAAGAAAACACAATTGATCATGTCATGGCAATAGGGATGGAACGTGATACACACCAACTATAGGAAAAAGATGGAAAGTAAGAGTGTAAATATGGCAAATCTCTTCAGAGAGTCAAGGATGAGCCTCGTTTTAGGTCCTTTCTTTTTGGCCGAATGCTTCATGAATGAAGCCCAACTTTATAAATTTCCCGTTCAACAACGGCCGAAATGTGGTGCATTAAACCACCCTGATATGAATCCCTGGGAATCATCATTCCAAATCGACCACCGAACACTGGTTGAAACATATTTGAAACCACCGAGCAGCAGTGGTTTGATTCATTTGAACCACAACATTGAGCAAAACATACCACAAAAAAAAGGGGGGTTGTCTAACACTTGGGCACTCTGTAAAATATCTTCACACAGCACCAAGACCTGTCACTTGGGGAACCTCTCTTGACCATCTCAACCATTACTGTCTTACAAAAAACAACATAACTTGAATGGTTCTGTTTGGAGTGACCCAAAAAATCACCCAACCCTTCAACCATGACCTTCCGCGACCCTTAAAAAACATTGGCCACGACGCATTAAAACATACGCCTACGGTAGGGCTCATCTGCAGTCTTCTGAGATGGTTCTCCGCTAACATCCTGCGCATTGCCTTAGGAACCATGGGCAAACCAGGCGGCCACAACAAGGCCACCCCCGTTATAGGTTGGCTGGCAAACATCTACCATACATGTTGCCCCTCCAAACTGGGGAATCAGCATTATTTTAAGGAATTACCATATTTATATTACAGTAATATATATATATATATATATTATTAGTTAATACCTACTATGATCGTCTATGATCGTATATTCATATATATATATATTATTGGTTATTACCTACCATAGTTTATCACCTATATATAAATATATGATATATATATATATATATTCGTTATTCTAGTTATTATATATTAATATATATTGTCAGTTATTCTATATGAATATATTCTCATATGTTTTGAATCAAGCCAATTATATTATAATATATTATAATATATATCACCTATTCTCCATGGATCCCAGCAATGTTACCCTCTGGTAAACATACAAAAAACTATGGAAAATCACCATTTTCAATGGACAAAATCCACTATTTCTATGGCCATTTTCCATAGCTATTTTGACATAACCAGAGGATAAAATGTGGGTCGACCCATGAGATCCGAACATTGGCGCAGTTGATGATCAGCTCGACCATCGCAGCACTTACGCCGCTGCCCGACACCCTGGCGATGGTCTCCTGCGCAGCCAAGGCACAAACCACATGGATTGATGTGATTTTGATGTGTTCTTTTGAAGACTTTACAAGTTTACCCTCTGGTAAACATACAAAAAGCTATTGAAAATTGCCATTTATTTCGTGGATTTTCCCATTGAACATGGTGATTTTCCATAGCTATGTTAAATTACCAGAGGGTATACAAGTTTACAACATGGTTGAGATGGTTGAGATATCATACCGATAGGTAAATGGGTGAAACTAAACCCAAGAAATAATCTACCTGGGGACCTCTTCCTGTACCAGTTATACCCATTTATGTCCGGACTTACCCATTGATATCCCAATACAACTGGCATGAACTAGGCTGAACCAGTATTGGAACAGTTCCCACTTTGAGTTGCATAAAAACTGCATCATGATCCATGTCGCGCTAGGTCATAATTTGGACAGGGCCAATTTTTTCTGATCCGTGCCATACAACAATGTTTATATGTGTTGTTTGTGTAAATGAATGTATATATCGTAATTAACTCCGAACCATTGACTGTATATAGATCTGTGGTTGATGGTTGATAAGATTACATTCACCATCCATCATCCACCCTCTGCCAAATAGAGTTACGTATATATATAATATATATGTATACAATGATGTATAATTAGCTAACTTCAACCATTGTGACCAAGTATGCAAGGTGGTGCCTCTTACTTAGCTAAGTTGGTTTATAACTCCAATCACTTGGGTTCATGACAGATCTATTCTATACTTAATGGAGGTTAAAATTAAACATAGCTGGGGCCCCAACCATGATGACCACCAACCATGAGAACCACGAGAAACTCTCCCCTGGTGTCGCCAGCGTCCGCCAGCGTCCTTCAGCGCGTCCGCAAAGTCGGGGTTCGTCAGCATCGAGCGATCTTTCACTTTCAGCCTGCCCCGGCAGCAAATCTTCCACCCAATCTGCTCCGTTCAATGCATCGGTTGAAACATGTTGGAACCGGAAACCCTGGAGATTTCCACGTGAAAAAAAACATTGGCTTCCCGGTTTCAAGCTTCAAGCCATCGAATTGTATGATATGGCTATAAAAAAATGGATATATCATATGGGAATATCATGGGAATATCCTGGCTGTGAAGATGCGGCAGGAAGTCGGCCATCGAAAAACCCATGGGGATTTTGAGGCTTTCCCATAATTTGCAGACCACGCCGTATCTGAACCATACATATTCCAGGAAGATCTCAACAACCCTGGGGCAAACGTTTGGATGTGGAACATCACCAATATAGGGAATTCATCCAAACATATTATCAATGAGCCATTTTCCACATCTATGCAAACGTTTACCCTAAGGCAAAACATTCTTGTTTTCACCATCTTTCGCTTACAACATAGCTGATTAAGGGACCCAAACACTTGGAAACGATGGAACGCGTGAACACTTGGAGTACCCTACAAAATCTGCACCAATAAAGACCAATATGTAGAAATCTAGGCATCCCATTGACTCTCCACCAAAACAAAGAAAACAGATCAAAAGCGATTGAAGCACATGAATATCATTTCCATATATATGGGGATTTCCTGAAATGGGAGTACCACCGAAATCATCCAAGTCATTAGACCATGTTGGTACTGAAACCCATGATTTTGGAGATCACCAATCTTAAGAAACCTCCATTTCTGTAGAAGGTCATTTCAATATCGTGGTGGCTCTCCCTACCATCATTTCCGGTCTGGCCAGTGGGCGAAATTTGCTAAATCCATCATGTTCCATTCAAAAACCGAGAAAGACATATCAGAAAAAAACAACAAACATACTGTGGATGGTTGCGAAATCCTGCACCACCTTAGATGGTTGGCTGCCTATGGGATGTGTTACCATCAACTGGTGCTTCGGATTTCTTCCACCACCTTGCCTCAACCAAAAATGCCTCAGAGTTATGGGTCGCCATGCCATTCCCAGGGCCTCATCTTCCCCTGCGCCATGAGAAACGCGAAGCCGGGCGGCGCCACGTTCGCCATCCCCGCGCTGCCCGCGCTGCCGGCGCTGCCGGCGCTGAGGCCGCTGCCGACGCCGGTGCCGAGGCCCACGCCGAGGCCAATGCCCAGGGCCACGGCCGTGCCCACGCCCACGCCGACACCGATACCTGGCAACGATTGGGAAGGATGAAGTGGTTTTTTGAAAGGGAATCCAAATCTTGAGTTTTACATATCGATATTTTCTGATTTAGATACTTATGAGCCAAAATTTCAGGTTTATACAACAGCGAGAAGGTATTTTTACCAGCAAAATCAGAATTTAAGCAGAATTTAAGTATGTGATTTACGTTTGTTTACGATAGGTTGGATGAACTGGATTGGACAAATTGGCTGGTGTCTAGTGATTGTGCCATGCAGTAAGCTGGATTCAAAATTGCGAGGTAAGAGTGGAACATCAGGTGAACCATACATACTATTATATAGATATATAATTTCCACTGAAACTACCAAACAAGGCCGTGATTTTTTGAAAACTGATGAAGATGTTCGCTGCACAATTGGGAGCTACTCCAAAAGAAGGGCTAGACTTTGCATATTATGATTCACCAAACTGTAAGGTCCATATCGTTCTTAGTGATCGCTCCCGCAAAAAAGAACGCGAGTAGACTGATAAAATCATCTAATTTCAGATAGATAATTAATGATAATCATATCAATTCGTGATAAATGATGATTCATGGTTAATGTTTTAATGATTAATGATATATTTCATCTATTTTTTCTGATTATCAATCATCTATTGTTTTCAATGGCGAACAACGATTCGCCAGTAAACTGCAGCTGGGTGAACTCGTCCATCCATTTTCCACGCTGCAGGTGTTGCAGGGTCATCCGACTGTAGATATTATCGATGATTCAATGATTCAAATAAACCCACTCGTTGACCGACTGTTCATTCATGTTCATTCAACCATCACTCTTGGATAAATCAATCCATGTAAATCGAATCGTTTCTTAGAAAATCCATTGTGAAATCCGGATCTTTCATGGCAAAAAAAACATGGCTTCTACCATGGCTACCATCCCCATGGCCATCATCCGCGCCTACGTCTTGGGCCTCCTGCTGATCTTCGTCCTCGTTGAAGGCTCCACAGGTGCCACAGGTCCAGGTCTCTTCATCCGCGCAATCCGAGCAGTCACAAAAGTTGTCGTTCCTGGGGATTTTTTCAAGTCCTCCATGAAATCTTAGCAGGGCCAAAAATGATAGGGAGATAGAAATGGATTGTGGCTTTATAAATCTATGATAAATTAGAATACAAATCTATAGAAATCACATTATATCACTATATATCACTAATATATTTAACTTTTGTATACTGTGGATGGTAAATCCTGCATTGGGAAGTGGAAAACCTCCGATTATTATTTTGGATGGGTTTCAACATGTTTCAACCATATGATAACCACCCATATATTGAATAGTATAACACCATGTAATCATCAATCAACCATAAATTATCAACTGTGTCTATGCTTGATGCCAAACCCACCAATGCCTTGTCGCTTGGCGGTTTCACCCTCCCTTGAGAGTTATATATATTACTGTATACATGAGTCATTTAGAGGATCACCCAAATTTTGGAAAAAGTGGTCGAACAAGTCATAGATCGTCGAAATCCCCGCCACCCATTGATATCTTTTTCTTTGTTTCAGCAATCCCCTGCAGGTCCACCCAAAATCCTTCAATCCAACCCACGTAATTTTTAGGAGGTTGGGGATCAACCCACGATATCATGCCTCCATTTGCCTCCAATTTTTTTTTTAAATTGTTTTGACAAAAAACGGAAATCCAACAAATATAGTAGAACCATGATTTTGAATGATTTTGACACAACAGAAGGGCACTTTCCACCAAGTTTCTTATAGACCAAAGGGATTTCACATCCATCTGGACAGCCTCGTTCGTGCGGATGTGACGATTAGGTGACGTCCAAAGCGTGATTTACATTGGGGCAATAAAACAAAGCTATTGTAGGATATACTGATATACTCAATGTTACCGGTTTCGAACATAGATATCACTTGACAAAAGCAATCAAAGCAATGGTTCCAATCTCAAAGTGGCGCTTGATAAAAGCAGTGTCTTCAATATCGAAACTACCAGTGCTCAATTGTGAGAGAGCAGTGTGATTGGATTCCGACAAGGCCATCTACCATCCTAAGGCATTAGGGTTTGTTATGTCCCTTAGTCAGTCAGTCCATAGTCTCAAATAAACCAGGTAGTACAAGATCACAACCAATCAATCATCAATCAAGCACAATCTATCAGAACGAGTTCAAACCTGGATTTCATCATCAAATTCCAATCTGAATCACCAAATGAAAACCAATGAGTAAACAATTTTTGGGCACATGTTTTTCGCTTCACAAAGTAATTCTTAAAGCAACTTAGCGTCGCTAACTAAGTGTCAAGGATTGCCATGGATTTCCATATCAGCTTATCAGAAAATGATGGGACATCTGAAAACAGAAACAATGGTTGATCACCATAATCCCTACAATGTGCCCCCCCCAGTTATAAGTTGGTTTATAAGCCCCAGTAACTATAGTTATAAGTACCATAAACCATAGTTATTGGAGCTATAAACCAACTTAGCTATCTAGGGGGCCTCACATTGTATTGCAAGATTGCCATGGTTTTGAGTGTAATCATACCTCCCAGAATTGGAAAAGGGGTCTGGAAAATCTGGAAACAACCATATGTCACTGGAAAATTACTTTACTTCGTGTGATCCCCACCATGACATTTATACATTTTCTTACTGGCAAATCTTCTGGCATTCTATCTGACATATCTTCTGACATTCTATTTGGCATTCTATCTGGCATATCTTCTGGCATATGATCTGGCATATCTTCTGGCATATCTTCTGGCATTCTATCTGGCAATCTTCTGGCATTCTATCTGGCATATCTTCTGGCATTCTATCTGACATATCTTCTGGCATTCTATCTGGCATATCTTCTGGCATATATTCTGACATATCTTCTGGCATTCTATCTGACATATCTTCTGGCATATATCTGGCATCTGGCATATCTTCTGGCATATCTTCTGGCATATCTGACATTCTATCTGGCATATCTTCTGGCATTCTATATGGCAGATCTTCTGGCATTATATCTATCTTCTGGCATTCTATCTGGCAAATCTTCTGGCATTCTATCTGGCATATCTTCTGGCATTCTATCTGACATTCTTCTCTAACTTTCTTCTGCACATTCTTTGTCCCATATCTTCCTACATGAGGTTCGGCAGGGAACACTTGGCGTGGATACTCGCGGTTGAGGTCCGGCAGGGAACACTGGGCGTGGATGGTCGTGGTTGAGGTCCGGCAGGGAACACTGGGCGTGGATGGTCGTGGTTCAGGTCGGCAGGGAACACTTGGCGTGGATACTCGCGGTTGAGGTCCGGCAGGGAACACTGGGCGTGGATGGTCGTGGTTGAGGTCCGGCAGGGAACACTGGGCGGGGATGGTCGTGGTTGAGGTCCGACAGAGAACACTGTGGATCGCGGGTCGCAGTTGGACGAGGAGGACGACGAGGAGGACGACGAGGAGGACGACGAGGAGGACGACGAGGAGGACGACGAGGAGGACGAGGAGGAGAGGAGGAGGAGGAGGACGAGGCAGGAGGAGGCAACTGACATAAAATCTAACAACCCTCACCTGGCAGGTGGGGAAAAACACAGGTGTCCTGCAAATATGATCTTCCTCCAATCCCCAGTGAATACTGCACTTTTGGTTTCACGCATACTGTCTCATGCATGTGAAGATAGCGAGTCTGAATGGTCGTCTTCCAAGACCTTTGCGACCGTTTATCCGTTTATATAGTTATCCAATTTTGTTGGGGCACATCTCAAATCCATTGCACCACCAAAGACATGTACAGAGATAGAAGAACACGTCCATTTTAGATTATTGCTATTACTATACTTACTCATATTTACCACCTCTTATATACATATATACATACATTATCATAGAATGTATCATCATTACATATGACATTTTCAGAAGCTAAAGGTTGAAAAGTTGAAACCATTATCTTGTCGGTAGCATTGCAGTGGAAATCTATGTTCAACATTGTTAAACTGGCCGTGTGTTTGCACCCATTTCAGGCATGTCGGTTGGGTTTGTATAATCCTTCTACAACCCTCTACATAACAGCTTCAACACCAAACGTTTTAAAGGGACATGTCGTAGGTATCAGTGTATGTAGATTATCCAATTGGTTCCTGATCAAGCAGACAAAAAACACAAAAAATGCCCGAAATTCACGACTTAAAATCTGCAGAGGTACACGACTTCATCCTGTAAATGAAGAGGGTTGAATCTCCCTTCAACAAAAAAAATGTACGGACGTAGCCTGGTGGAATTTCCCGTTGGTCGCCATTTGGGTATGGCGCAAAATCTATGACGCGTTGCATGACTTCTTACATGACTTTATGATTTCCAACGGTGATCAAACAACATCATATATCAACCTCATTTTGTGCAGCACATCTCGCTCAGGAAGCATCCTTGCAAAGTGTCCCCTCTCGCCCAGTTCTGTTTGTTGGTTTTGTTTCACCCATCTAACTATAGATACATCATGATACATCATGATTTATCATGCTGGTAATTTAACATAGTCATGGAACATTCATCGCATTGATACATGACTTGGGCATACTTGGGCTACAGCATCTGCACCAAGAGTCTAAATATATCTTCCAGTAAACGCAGCCGCAATCTTGCACCTTCAGTGGACCTCAGAGTTGCAGGAGAGTCTCCGTCCTCTTTTTTTTGTCACCAATTATTGAGAAAAAAATGCGGTTCTATGTGTATATAGTCTATCATTCAGGAAAACAGTGGTCCCACTATTGGGCAGGGTTGTCATGTAAGTGGGCAATTGATGAATACATAATACATGTGTGTATATATATATATATATACTTATATCCGCCGACCCCGGCTGAGCAAGGGGAAGCGCGTCAGGGCAGAGAGGTTGCCAATGCCAACAGCAACAGCAACAGCAACAACAACAACAACCACAACAACAAGGACAACAAGGACAACAAGGACAACAAGGACAACAAGGACAAAAGGCAACAGCAACAACAACAACAACCACAACAACAAGGACAACAAGGACAACAAGGACAACAAGGACAACAAGGACAAAAGGACATCAACAACAACAACAACAACAACAACAACAACAACATCAACAACAACAACAAGAAGAAAAACAATAAGAAAAACAAAAAGAACAAGAAAAAACAAGAAGAAAAACAAAAATAATAAAAAAAAAGAAGAACAAGAAGAACGAACATAACAATAATAACAAGAAGAAGAAGACGAACAAGACAAACAATAAGAACAAGAAAAGCAAGAAGAACAAAAATAACAACAACATAACAACAACATAACAACAACATAACATCAACATAACATCAACATAACATCAACATAACATCAACAACCACAACCACAACCACAACAACCAAGACAACAACCAAGACAACAACCAAGACAACAACAACAAAAACAACAACAAGAACAAGAACAAGAGCAAGAACAACAACAACAACAACAAGAAGAACAAAAACACAAATAACAACAACAACAACAACAACAACATGAAGAACAAGAAGAATAACATGCACAAACATGCGGCAAAAAGATGTGTGGTAAGATGCTTACAAGCTGTGGTATGAAAAGAACGCCGCACTGTGCTCTGTATCTGCGGGCACGCGTAGAGCACATGGACACCACCAACGCTCACAGTACTATACTTAACCCGTATGGCATCGCCGGTGTGCGAAGCTCTACTACAATACATATATATATATATATATATACACATGGTATGTAAATGACTCAACCTTGGCAAGTAAATGGCACATCAACATATTATGTTATATCAACCCACTAAAAAATCATAAGAATTGCGAGCACCTGGAAAATTTGGGGAACATATCATCTATATCATCCTGGAAATAACTTTTGATCTGTTATATTTATGGGACCCCTATTGTGAATTATTGGTTTCTAAGCATCGTTATAGGGGATACCTCCAGCTACCCTAGAAAAAAAACAAACAAACAGGGAACCCATGAAGTTGCTGCGCTCTCCAAAATCTTTGGTTATGATAGCCCTTTTGCCCTGTCACTTTGTTCCTCATATCTGGTTGATATTCACATTCTTTTGCGTTTAGAATCTCATCTTCGTGCCCAAAAAGGAACCAACATGGCCTGAGATAGCTCGAAGATTCGGAAAAAAAACACAGGCTATATTTCTGTTGGCTGTAATCGCTGTAACCCCATTTCTGTTGGCCGCAACAACTCCTCATACATCACATGTTTAGCCATGTTTGCTAGCCAATGGTTGAGCAGATTCGCAAGGGACCTCAACTTAGAGATGGTTGTTGGTTTCATGATCCTTCTAATGTGCCAGGGTGATGTTAAGACAGGACAGGCCTGTCAATGGTCATCTATGCCCTCTCGACCACGTTCCTTCGATTACAGGTTACAGGGTGTTTACTATTGATTTCCCCATCCAACATTACCAAGTTGGGATCATTGGAGCTCAGCACGCGCCACATATTACACAAGTTCTATTGGCTCATGCATCCACAGTCTGGCTTAGATGGCCCACAAAATGGTCATAGCAATCTTGTGCCTCAAAGCTTGGCCGAACTTAGATACCCTTCATTTCTTTTGTCAGGCTGGTGTGTGTATATACACAGATGACATACGTTACATGCATTGATTACTTGCTGCACGCATCACATACACTACATTGCATTCAAAGCCGGTAGCTGGAATCATGGTGTCTCATAGCTACATATGACATCATATGGCATATATATATATATACCCTCTGGTAATTTCACATAGCTATGGAAAATGGACCATTTACAGATGATTTTCCCAATAAACCCTCCATTTATAATGGATTTTCCATTGCTATGTCAAATCATATGGCATATATATATATATAGATATAGACGCACATATCCTTTCCAACAAAGGCCAGGGTGGCTCAACGCCACACTTTAGAAACTAGGGGCCATTTTTTTGTTGGAACCATTGCTACCCTGAAATCAGACCCAAATAGATTGGATATACCATATACCTCACCTTACCATACCATACCTTACCGTACACACACATGCAAATATACACTACATATGTATGTATGTATATATATATATATATATATGTGTGTGTGTGCGTGCACACCAATTATAGAAACAAACAACTCTTGAAACCACCCTTCACCAAGCTTTACGCCTCTCTTTTAATGGCTGGGCCCTCCAGATTTTTCTGGTTACACCGTAATTAAACCTTCACGTTTAATTACTCATACTTTGATTCTTGAATTACTGCTTATGTTGGAACATCATAATTCAGTATACATAGTGGACATACATGTTGCTGGTTAATTCATTGGACATCTTTGCCACATTTTCATGGCACAGCTGCAGCCCTGATCAGCCCTGATCAGGACGGTCAGGCCCCTCGAGCCAAGTTTCGAGCCAGTGATCCGCAGTATCCACACGATGGTACTACCGTTGTTAACAAAGATGCTGAGGGTGTCCTGGTTCGAGCTAAGCGAAGCTACGCGATGGGAAGCGTCCCATGGATTCCTGTTGATTTTATGGCCATATCTGGCGAAACCGAGGGAATCCGAGCCGCCATTTTTAGGGATATAGATGGATACAAGAAAAACAGTATAACCAACAATATGACTTATGACAAAAAGAAATGGGGGATTGTATTGGATCAGACCTTTTTGGGGTTCAACCTACTTTGATTCACGATGAGAAAGGGATGAAACCAGGCTTCACCAATTTCCACCTGGGCAAACTAACAACAATACTTCAGAATCCTAAGTGAAGGTCGCTTTGTGATGTGATTTCCCTCAAGTATTCCCTCAAGTGCTTCTGTGGCTTTTTGACTAGAGCCAAATCAGATAAGGGATAAGCCACTGAAGGGGCCTTCCCCAAGATACATATATGTCAATAGTTAACTATGTATTTATTATATAATTAACTATGGTTAACACACACATATATATATATATACATAGTTAATCATAGTTACATGTTATATGGGGTTACCGTGTAGCTTGGCAGCCCCTTGACTGGATGATGTTAAACAAAAAAGCGTACCTGGGGTCTGGTAATTCAACAGTTTACCGGAAGCCATGGCACTTGTGTAGATGATTTCAATGATTTACCCATTTTCTTCTATAACTTTCGTGGTGGTTTTCCAAAGGCGATAGCAATGATTACCTGAGGACGATGCCAGGATTGCACGTAAATTAACATACTGTAGATCCTGCCATCAGTTAGGCTTCGAAGTAGTTGAACCACGAAAAATTGGCAATTTTCAGGGTTGAAGTGTTTGGAGTTCCATCATCAGCGCCTGTCAAAGATGGTCCCTTTCAATAGGATGATCCACTTGGGCATTGACAAAAACCCGTGATTTTCACGATTCGTGGATCGTCCAAGTATACGGCTCTGACTTTTGAACCAAGACTAGGTAAATCCTCTGGTAAACTAACATAGCTATTGAAAATCACTATCTTTAATAGGTAAATCAACTATAAATGGGCCATTTTCCATAGCTATGTCAAATTACCAGAGGGTAAATCTTCTGGTCATCATGGCTGGGAAATCCCCGAGTTAGCCATGGAGGTAAACAGCTCGGGTAAATCATCGATAGCTGAAGGATTTTCCAGCAAGCCAAACCATGATTACCAAAGTAAAACCTGCTGGTATCATTTCCAAGGCCCCTGTTGCTTGTAGGGAATGTTGTCATCCCGCTTGTACTGATTCAGCTATGCTTGGGGGTGCCGTTCCAGTTATAAGTTTACATACCCACAATTGTAGAGGTTATATCCCAACTTGTGGTATCTAATTCAAGAGTTATATAAACCCATTCATAATTCCTTGGTTTGAGTATTGAAGTGCGCGATCTGAATTTAAATTTGTTGCCACACACACAAAATAGAACCAAAACTGGAGAAAATAAATGAAAATAAGGAAAAACAACATTGATTCATGGATTTTGGCCAAGTTTATCGGGATTCAACTGGTATACGGGTCAAGACTGACATCCTCCAATAATGGGGGAGTATGGGGGAGTGCATATAGTACTGAGGATTGCCAGTCAATCTGCGTTTTTCAACCGGGGTTTTGACATGTGTTTTGCATTCTGTTTCGGCTATTGAACTATTGGACCCAAATGTGTGGTCGGTTATCCCTATTTTGATCAATGCTATGGTGGTTCATATAGTGTGGTAAACAGTATGGTTCAAAACATCCATTGGGGTTATTTCCTCACATCAATGTTGCCAACGATTTGCCGATATTTTCCTGTACATCATCACATGTTGGTATTTCAGCTGGATCACTTGTCGGTGATTTGAAACAAACAACATGAAAACACGTCATTTTTACCAGCTGTTCACCATCATTTACCGAGGTATTCCTGGTACATTGGTTGGTTAAAAAATGTTCCCAAATCACGAGGTGTGTGATGGTTTATATTCATTTTCATTTATTTCTCATTTTCGTGGCCATTGACCATTTTGAAACGCATATGACAAGTTTTGCTCAAGATGCATCCGTAAAGCTGGTGGAGCTGATTGACGTCACGACGGTTTCGCCTACGAAAGCGGGCAGAAAAAAAAACTACCACCTATGAATTTAACAAGAATCACCAGCTTGTACAGTCACCCATGGTTATTTTAGTAAACAAAATAATCATTACCCTGCTGGATCTGCTGGATTTTAACAAGCGGTTTTAATATAATTACTATTTGTTTTCAAAAACAACATGGGCTTGTATACTGTAAATCGTGGGATTTGGATGGAACATACATATAGATATAAAATCATACATGAAAAATAGTAACCCATGATGAAATTAACAATACCCATTGTGAAATTAACAACACGACCATAACAATTTTCCATTGTTTCCCGGGAGTGGCCAACAACAAATCTCATCTTCAAACCAGACATGGCTGTAGCAATTGAGGTTGCCCCCTACTTCGCTAAATTGGCTGATAAGTGGGTTGGCTATAGGTTTTATGATGGTTTACAGAAATTTGTGGTAGATAAAACTGATATCGAACTGGATTGATCGGTAAAAAAACTGATCCAACCCACGAACCCGAATGCACATCACGCAAAACACGTTTGCGAAACAAGTTTTCGCAACTGTTTCGCACATTTTTCCCCGGTTACCGTATATAACATGACTGTGGAGTGGGGGGTGGAATGTAAAGTGCGGAGTGTGGAGTGTAGAGTGGGGGCATGTGCAGCGATAAGTGTGAAGTGTAGAAGGTAGACTGTGGAGTGCAGAGTGTGGAGTGTGGAGCGTCAAGTGCAGAATATGGAGTGTGGAGTGTAGATTGTGAAGTAAAAGGGGTGAGTGTTGAGTGCGGAGTGCGCAAGGGTAGAGTGCGGAGTGCAGAGTCCAAGTGTAAAGTGGAGAGTGTGGAGTGTGAAGTGTGACTTGTGGAGTGTAGACTGTGGAGTGTGAAGTGGGGAGCGCTGAGTGTGGAGTGCAGAGTGTGGAGTGTGAACTGTGAAATGTGTAGTGTACAGTGAACAGGGTGGAGTTTGAAGTGGGAAGTGTAGAATGTGGAGTGTAGAGTGTGAAATGTGGAGTGTCGAGTCTAGAGTACAAGTGTGATTTGTGGGGTGTGGAGTGTAGAATGCGAAGTGTGAAGTGTAGAGTGTCAAGTGCAAATAGTGTGGAGTCTAAAGTGTAGAGTAGGGAGTGGGGAGTCTTGAGTGTGGAGTGTAGAGTGTGGAGTGTAGAGTTTAGAATGTGGAGTGTAGAGTGTGGAGTGCGAAGTGTAAAGTGTAAAGTGGAAAGTGTGGAGCGTAGGGTGTAGAGTGAGCAGTGTAGAGTACAGAGGGCGAGTGTGTAGAGTGCGGAGTGTGAAGTGCAGAGTGTAAGGTGCATAGCGTGGAGTGTAGGGTACGGAATGTCAAATTGTGGAGTGTAGAGTGCCAAGTGTAGAGGTGTTGAGTGTGGAGTCTAAAGTGCGGAATGGGGAGTGTGAGGTAAAAATTGTGGAATGCAGAGTGCGCATACTGAAGTGGGAACTGCATGGGGAGTCTACAGTGTGGAGTGTTGCGTCTAGAGTTTATAGTATGGAGTGTGGAATGTAAAGTGTGGGGTGTAGAGTGTGGAGTGTAGTGTGGAGTTTAGAGTGTGATGTGTGGAGTGTGAAGTGTGAGAGTGAGTGTAGAGTGTAAAGTAAAAAGTGTGGAGTGTCAAGTGTAGAATGTAGTGAAGTGTGGAGTGCAGAGTATGGAGTGTAGAGTGTGGAGTGGAGTGTGAAGCGTGCGATTTAGGGATAGGAACTGTGGAATGCATAGAATGGGGAGAATCTAGCCGACACTGGCGAGCGGCGAGTGGTGTCGGAAGGCAATTCTCTTCAACAATTTGCAACTTCAGCAACTATTGCGCCTGCGAAGCCGCGCCAATTCAGAAAGCCTCATGCCTCCCAAAATAAAAAATCTTGCACTTGCCGTGATAAATCACATTCCAAGCCTGACGGAACTTCACCAAATTCTGCGATTGCCATGAAGAATGTTCCTTCACAACGTACTGTGCCTGCCACGACCCTGGCACTTTGTCACCACGTGGCGCAGCACTGCCATTGCGATTCGCAAAGCCCACGCAACCGTCTAAAGTGTTCCGCCTGGCACGACATATGGACATGGACGCCTCCAAAGTGCCGCGTCTGCCACGAACATTTTACATTTTACATCTTATTAAGACGACCGTCACAAAAAGCGATTTGCAACACGGTATCAAACACGTCGGAATGTCACAAAGTGCCGTGTCTGCCATACAAAACAGCGTTACACCCCTAAAGTCGCAGCTTTTGCAGCAACAGCCATCATATATGTCCTCAGTGCGGACGGTTACGAACGAATGCGGTCAGCAAAGCAACCTCGAGCGAACACACCTCCACCGCCACCACCCTTAGACCCCAAAGACAAACGAGAATCGCTACGCATTTGGGAAAAAACAACCATAACTGCGGGACCACCGGATTGCAGGTTATATGTGATCCTTTCATGCGTGTTGCCCGTGCCATGTTCCTGTGGTTTGGATCACGTCATCAAGGCAATGGGATCACTCTTCCCCGGGACCTAGCTCGACTCTTCCGCATGTGAGGAATGAACCAACGTGCAAAACATACCTGACATGATGTCTTCCGAGTGCATGACACATTCAAAAGGAAATCGTCATATTGTCAGCTGCTATCAGTTGCTCACTAAACAGAAAACGAAACCGTCCCTACTTCACATCTCTCTCACCCTCCTCGGGGCACAGTGGCCCGAGCTCCTTCCTTCCCCCCGAAATCTCGCACCTTCTCCGCCAAAAATTTCGCACCCCGTAGTGGCTGGTGGAGCCTCAGGTAGACGAAGGCGAATCACAGGTGGGATTTGGCTCAGGTTTCATACGTCATACAGTGTGAATGTCTAAAAAAAATAGGTGGTGAATACATGAATACAGGTGAGATTGTTTGGACCATATTTCCAAACAGGTGAGTCATGGTGAGTCAACATATTCCGGCATGCTGAGCTTTGACAAGAGTGGTTTGATATATAGATATAAAGCCTTTCCAAACAAAAGATTTTCTTAAGTGATTCATCCACCTTTTTTCGGGGAAACGCAAACAAACCTTAAGCAAACCCAATAAACCCTAGGCAAACCCTAAACCCTAAACCCTAAATAAACCCTAAGCCCTAAATAGACCCTAACCTAAGCCTAAAAATTACCTAAACAACCCCCAAACCAACACTAAACAAACCCTAAACCAACCCAAATCAAGCCCGATACAAATCCTAAAGAAACCCTAAGCAAACCTTAAAACAAAACCCTAAGCAAACCCTAGAACCCTAAATAAACCCTAAACCATCCTAAAGCGACCCTAAACAAACACTAAATAAACCATAACAGAACCGTAAACAAACCCTACACCAGATATAGGGGTACCCTCTTTTCAGTCAACCCCATGTATTTATTGGTGGATATTGCGTGATATCCCCATTTCATGGGTGCATAACTCATATCAATTCATATCATATATATATATATATATTGACCCAGAATTGCTATTACAACTGGAAGAGAAAGTCGTTGCAAACGGGTCCCTGGCACCACTTCGCCATGGGACACCGAGCCACGACTAAGTCACGGCAAAGTCATTGCATATTGTCTCTTCGTCAGGGATGCCGTGTTTTGAAGAAGACATCAAAAAAGCAAGCGTGCGCTGTGGAAGAGGATTTTCCTATTGGGACACCATGAATCCAAATGGTCAGCACGTAACCAAACAAGCAGGCAAACAAGCACTTTCGGGGAAGCACACAGGCAAGGTACAGGAGGGGACGGTCAGCCAAGCAGGCGCAGGCAGCAGGCCATCAAGTAAGCAAGCGGCCAAGCAAGCGGCCAAGCAAGCAAGCAAGCAAGCAAGGAAGGAAGCAAGCAAGCAAGCAAGCCAGCAAGCAAGCAAGCCAGCAAGCCAGCAAGCCGACAGCAGGTCAGGCGGAAAGGAGCAGCAAGCAAGCGATCAGAATCCCGCCAGAAGCAGCAGCTGCAGAAGCAGCGGCAGCAGCAGCAGCGGCAGCGAACCAGCAGCATCAAACCAGCAGCATCATGAGGAGGAGCAGCAGCAGCAGCAGCAAAAGCAGAGGCAGCAGCAGCAGCGGCAGCGAACCAGCAGCATCAAACCAGCAGCATCATGAGGAGGAGGAGCAGCAGCAGCAGCGCAGCTTGCGCTGATGGTTTTGGGGATTGCCGCAGGAGTGAATGTTGTAACTCTGTCCAAGAAATGAGGGCACACCAATTTATGCCCATCAAATCACCGGCAAAATCATCATCATCATCAACATCATCAACTATTACAGTAGATATTAAAATATGTTCAAGTTTTCCCATCATCTTCAATCAAACAATAGGGAACATGATTTTCACCATGAGATCTTCGGCTTTTCACTCATCAAATGGTCACATCCCAGTGGGCCCTAGCCCCCAAACCTCCCCGGAATTCCATGGAGCCCAGGTGCAGGAACCAACGGCTGTATGAGCTTCTCGGTATCCTGAGGTCAAGGAACAAATCAGGGAAATTGTCATTAATGCCGGTTCCATGGGTTATTAAAATGTAATTAAACGGTATTAATGGTGGTACATTGGTATTTCGCAATTGGGTGCGATCTTTGCTATATATCATTAAATATCCGGGTCATCTTCTTGAAATAGTGATCTCAAAACTAGAATCGAAGACGGTCGAGTACGCAAGATCATGATTTGGCTCAGATATTTTACCAAGATCAAGAGATAATATGATACACACACATATATATATATATATAAAGATACAAACCTTACTTTGATACCTTGGAAACAAAACTGTGCGCTGGTCCAAACAAGCTGGGAAATTCCAACACCCCAACTTATAGCAATAGAAACAACGCATGAAACTACCCAAGGTCACGCCGTGCCGGGTGGCCTGTGGGCGGCAGCGCCACCGTCATTTTCCACCACGTGCTATATCCCACCCCACCCCACCCGAACCCCACCCACTCCACCCCACCCCAACGTGCTGTCCACGTATCATCACGTGGTATCACAACGTC